AACTGGAGGGTGAATGTTATACTATCGGAGCGTGTATATTATTTTAATGCGCAAAAAGCTAGTCGAATTACTTTGCAGCGTAACTCCTTAGATTTAACTACGATTGTGGAACATTATGTACTGTGCTGCACATTAAAGACAAAAAATTAGCTTAACATTTGTAGGGAAAAATACGCAAACTAATATCCATAAGCCGCGGTGTTGCGTAAGACATGTTGACCTTGTTAATCGGCATGTTGTATTTATAAAAGGATATTAATTATGTTGTGCCTATGACCAAATCACCAGGAATGTGCTTGATCTCGTCATATCCTGGAAGCTAAGCAGAGGTTGAGCCCGGATTGTGCCTGGATGGATGACCTACCACGCACAAACAGGTTGTCATAGGGCCTACATGGTGGGAAGTAGAGATCAGTGCAGAAACATCCATTGTTAAACTGTACTTCTATGTATTATTTGGGTCTTTCGGTAAGGCCACGTAGATATAAAAAAATAAAAATCACGACGTTTCGATCGCAACACAAGCCATCGTCATCATGTGACTATGAATTCCTGCAGTCACGAAAGCTTTAAGTCAAGATTGTACCTGTGCTTCGCACCAACACCAGCACACATCGGCGTGGACAGGTGTGGGAAGGCCATCATCCAGCAGTGGATTGACAAAAGGGCTGTACGTGTTGCATGTTGATTGCGTATCTGTCTGGGGGGTTAGAGAAGACAAATTTTACATCTGAAAGTTGCAAGTTCAAATCAGAATTGGGCGGGCGGGGGGGGGGTCTCACCTTCGACCTTTTCACCCTCTGAGATCGGTACAATTGGTAGCACCATGTGGCGAGTGAACATTGGTTGCAGTATGGCTAGGCCTTCACCCACCACATCGTCGTCATTAGCCATGGTCAATCCACTGTTGGTTGAAAGCCTAACAAACGAACTGACGCTTGATTTTTATACAGCCTCGCAGCGCGTTATGTACATAGCCCAACCCTGAGCAAACCCTGTACAGATAAAGCGGAATACGTCTGAAAATGTAAAAAAAAAACTGTATAAAACGCACAAAACCTTACCACAGATGGGCGTGAAAGTGAAAACTAAATATGTCTTGAGATGAGAACTAACAGCCTCTGGGTGTAATAATCAACTAAGCAGCTGCACACACACCCTGAGTAAAAGTAAGCACACTGCACACACACCGATTATCACGGCTCCCATCTCCCCCGTCCGTGAACGCACTCGGCGAACGCGTTCCTCTTGGCCGCATCATGATGCCTCTCACCCTGCTCGTTACCAACCCGCGCTGATCGGCATGGTGAAGTATTTTTGCAACCTACGTGACTTTACCGAAAGAACCAAAGAGTATGGTGAAGTATGGTCAGACAACGCCGAATGACCAAACTCTGGAGTGAACGGGGTGGACATAAATGAGTGCGCTCACAACCTTCTACCAGACTTGATGTATAGCCATAATAAATGTTTTTGGGTTAGGGCGCGCAAATATAAATGTGTCGTTAAACTCGCCACCACCCGACACAAACCAATTAGTAAGGTTTATCACGTAGACAAAACATGCCAATTCGTTACGAGAGCTGGAGAGTGAACCCACAACCAGAGCTACATCAAACAAGCCAAGATGTTAGTTATTAACCACAAAATATTTACTTTATTGACCTAGCTGGTGTTGTAGACTCGCACCTTGAGGCATATTGATTACTGTGAAGTGGGGAAAGTATTGGACATTATTACGTTGTTATATCACACATTACTCAAGTGTTTTTTTAAAGTCTGACTAATACATCGCATTGGTAAGTTTTGTGAAATGCGTTTGACATTTCACAATATTGGTGTTGAATAACTCTGGCGTAATGGTAAAGCAGCATACTTTACATGCAATCCAGAGTTCGTCTGGATGTCTCGCCCTCGGCAGTTGAAACTCTGGACACCTACGACGCGTTTCGCCATGAGGATTAATTGTATTTAAACTGAAACAATGCTAACGTGCCAACAAAATATATATGCGGACCATTTGTGAACCTGATACTGCACATGTCTTTGCTCGAGTCCGTCATCTGTGGGGGAGAAGTATTTTTTTATTAATATTTTTTGTGACTACACTCCTGAACAGCGGATGTGGCTGTGGTGTCATGGTTAAGTTGGGTAGTTAAAGCAATGGCGTAAGTTTCTTAAATCCCCTTCTGCTTCAGTGCGCCCAGCAGCATAAATGGGTAGAACCCACGGTTAGGGACAGGCGATTGGCAGTTCGCACGTGGTGGGGTAATGCGTTGGTTAGGTACTTCCACCTCTTCCAAGGTGTCTTGCCACAGTGTGGAAGAGTAGGCCAAAAATGTCCCTTCCTCCAGAGTGCCTTTAGCGCTTCCTCGAGTTTGAGTCACTTGTATGTACGTAAGTCGAACTTCTTTCGCATTGTACGTGGCCTGAGCAATTAATATCAGGGCTGCACCTTTGCTCTTTTGAGGGAACCCCCCACCCCCCAGCTATTTTGGAGAGATGAGAGTTATACAACGAGGCGACAACAGCAGCAGCGTTCGGAAACTCCCCTACGCCAACGCACGCGCGTCACGGGCCCACCGGGAGTGACTAATCGCGCTCCACCGCAAAAAGGATACGGGACCCAATGTACTCCACACACCCCCAGCGCGCTTCTCCTGGCGAGCTGATCGCCCTCAACTCCTCCCCCCCCCCCAAGCAGAAATCAGTGCAATTGTAAAGCGTGAATCACCTCGCGTAATTATTAACGTTACACCGCGCGCTCAGTTTCGCAGAAATGATTAACGTCATTCCTTATCAGCAGGAGGTGCGAGGAACGGTGTGCTACCGATTTAATCAAAGCCCCGAACGAATTCAAAAACAATGTCTCTCTCACTTCCAGCCGTGCTCATGTTTTTTTTAGGACATTTTTTTGTGCCCAGGCCGAACCAGAGGTGGCCACGATTTTGTTCATTTTGCTCCTGGCAGAAGAACATGTATCCGGGAGCAGCATCAGCTTTCTTAAAGACTCTCAGATCAGTCAAATGGAACACTGTGCTCAATTCTGAAAAAAATCAGTCTGTTTGCCTACACCCTCGAAATTTTTATGTCACGGGTGTGGATGTGAAGTTTGAGGAGCCGGAAGTTGTGGTGTATATTTTGCACGTGTGATTTGTTGCTGTAATTTTTTTTATTCTTGCTGTAAAATTTGCATTGTTGTAACTTTCTGACTCGCCCCTTACTGGAAATCTGTGAAAAAAAGAGCTTCGTCACAGGTCCACGGATTCCTCCAGTCTAAATAAAAATTCTGATACTTGTTCATTCAGGAATGCCACACTGAGTCATGGGACTGCTTACACCGCGTGTTTATTTTAAGACGTTTTCAGATAATTAATGATGAGTGTTTGTACTTGCAGGCGGAAAAACCGAAGCACCCAGAGAAAACTCACACCGCGCAAGGGGGCAACCCTCTATCCCCGTACAGATGAAAACAGATGGCGATGAGTCCAATTCTAGATTTGAAGCTTTCGTGACTGCAAGGATCCATACTCTTTGGTTCTATTCGGTAAAGTCACGTGGGTATTTTTTACCTACGTGACTTTACTGACTTTACTGATGAGTTCAATTGTTGTGCTGGCTTCTCCTTGCGAGCCAGAGTACGGCTCCTTCTTGACGCCCCCCGGGAAGGGAGTCTCACAGCATCTGTGTGTGATCCACCAACCCTCTCTGCTGTCTCCACAGCGCTGGAATACCGCCATATGCCACCACCGCCCGGCAAATCGATCTTCGATGTGTTTTTTGGGCTGTGCCGCGCACGTGTTGTTTGGGGGGCACAATGTCCGACGTTTCGCCCCACGTTCTGAGAGCTTTTTCAGGGACTGAATCTTCTTTGGGAAACTGAAGCTCCCAGCATGCTGTGCAGAATGTCGGTCATCGTGTCGAACAGCATAAAGTGCAGCCCGATAACACATCGGAGAGAAGAGGGAACCCATTGCTCTCTGCCATCACATGGTTTCTCATATTTGCAGTTGCCGGACAGCATTGCTTTATTTGAATCATGAATATCGTTATAATATTGACTTACAACCCTTTGTCAATCATGGGAGTTTAGTTTCGACTTACTTCATCATGCTGGTCAGAATGGGTTGGTGAACCAAAATCAGGTTCAGATGTCACTCACCACTGATTGTTAGCCGTGGCCAGGAATCAAACCCAGGGGTCAAGTTTCACGGTAAAATGTGCTAACCACTGCACCGCTGTGACACCACTCCCTCATTGCACTTCTCGCTTATTTTACATTCTTTCATTCGTTATTAAATTTATAATTCGCACACATTGCACTTATAAAAAAAGAGCTTCAGAGGCACCGGGGATATATGTAAAAGTGTGATATCAACGTCTTTGGATTCTGACAGGATAGCACCGACGCCGATATTGCAGCAGTGCAGTGACAAAGGGAATACATTTTTTTATTTTACTTATTTACCAGGTAAAGCTCACCGAGCTGTATATCTCTTTATCAGAAGCGACCTGGCCACAAATGATAGCTCAACGAAGTGGCTTATTATACGCGGGGAATTTTTTTTTTTATCAGCGGCCAAATGCTCCAAATGCGTGTTTCTAAACGTGGAGGGGAAAAAAACCCGGGAGGACCCGAAGCCAAATGGACGCGACCACGAGGAGAACGTGCAAACTCCACGACCTTCCTGCGTACCGGGCGAGGGAGATAACATTATCTCGAGCACTTCCAGACGATTGCATTTGTGCCAAGGGGGAGCGACGTTAGCCACCGTCTCTGGCTCGAGAGGCGACGCGCAGGGCCCCGAGGAGGATGAGGGCCCACTCGAGTGTGGCCCAAGTGAACGTGAGCACTGTGCCGTTGTACTTTGACCGTTTGACACACAGTTTTAGCACCCCGAACCGAACCTGCCAAGACAGGCAACAAGCGTGTTACACACGAAGACAACCTGGCACGTTGGGACATCGCGGGAGAGATCGCGATGATAACAAAAAGCACTCGTTCATTGGCCCATCGGGTAACCATGTGATAGCCCGCGGCAAGCACGAAGCAGCTTGAAATTGCATTTTGCGTCCGACAGGCACAACCTGTCCGGCAAGCCGAGTCACAACTTGGCATTCTCGATCCTACCAATCGTGTCCAGCCAAGGGCGGAGTTTTGAACGCGGCTTTTCGTCAAATTACGCCTTTGTGGCTCGCCCTTCCCTCACCTGGGTTCCACCCACTCTGACCGTTGGCACACACACATACACCAAAAAACCACCCCACCAGCAGCTGTGGCTCGCGTTGGCAGCGTTAGCGCGCAAGTTTCTCCACCGCGCACTTTCTCTTGCCACTTCGCCATCCCGAGACAATCCTTTTTGGGAGAAAAAGAGCTCGCTTACCCACCCGTGCCATCATCGTCGTCGTCGTCGCCTTCCGCCTCCTGTGAGACGTGCGGGCAAACTCCACCGGAGGGACGTTGAGTTACGAACGGAAGGACGTTGAGGTTAAGTTGGAGCGGTCGGAGGCTGGCACCATCGGGTTGCCACGGTCAGCGAAATGCGGACGCGATAAATTCCTTGGGGCGTGGAAGAATCACGGATACAAAGTAAGTGAGGTCTTAAGGCCGGCTACCCGCACGCATTTGTCACAAACTTGTCCAGGGCTTTGTTCATCCGTGTCGCGTGTTGTGCCGATCAAGTAAGCGATGTTATACTGGTGGGGTTACTTGTCATGCGGTGCGGGTTGCCTTTTTTTTTTAAACGTAAGTTGAACTTTTTATAAACTCGCGTCACCCCCCCGTGGTAGTTATTTATAAAGTATTGTTAAAGCAATGATTTTTCCCACGAATGTAACGAATTAAAACGTTGTATGAACTGCGCAATTCCAGAAATCGCCGTACTCGGAAAATGTCTGGTAATGGTAACATTTTTTAATTCCTTTGACATAATACTCACTCGTGCATAACCTCCTAAATTTGTATTGATCCGGTAAACAATGCGTGATGGTATCAGTATAACAATATCGCACACAAGTCTGGATATTTACGTAGTGATTAACATAGTCCAATAATAATCATGTGACTAACTTGAGATGAAGTTTGTCCTTTTACCGACATAGTATGTGTACAGTGTCAAGGGGTACAGAGCAAAATGTGTGTTTACTTTTAGAACCACTTGCATACTAACTACTACACATTAACGCAGCATTGTAGCAGAACATGTCGCGTTCAGACGTTTTGGGTGATCGGTCTTATTCAGAGCTGAGAGCGCATAGTGGAATTAGCACTATACACGTTGGTGCTCGTAAACGACATATTTTTGTTCTCTATAAAGTTTACCAATTATTCGTTTTTTTCGGATTGACATTTTTTTATGCGGAGTAGACATTGACTAGTAAGCGAACCATTGTAATTAACGAACTCGCCCAGAATGCACCTGGTCTAGTCCGATATCGAAAGCCAAGTACTTGGATGCTGTGGGGCCGTGCTCTGGGGTTGTTAATGGCAATGCAGCAAAATCAATTGTTGCACTGCACTATGCTCCCCCACGACCTTTGGTGCTCACCTTCACGAGTCCACACTGATGCCAGCGTGCTAATGTATGGTGAAAGAACCCGCACGGCAAAGCGAGGGCCCTCCATCCAGTAGTGACTTGACAAAAGGGCTGCTGTACATGTGCGTACAATAGACAGCAGCTGTGACCTACTTTTCGTTGACAGGATAAAGTCCAGGAAAAAGACCGGAAGGTCTTCTTTCTCATTGTATTTACGTTTCAATTAACCAATTATTTTTCAACCAGGGCACCCTTTTGCTGTGTAAATTACATTGGAGCCCCCTACAATGTAACTCCTTAGTTTATTCCCAAAGCCGAGTATCAAATTCACGCCATCAATTGTTATTATGTTTAAAATGCTTCTCCATTTCAGTTTGAAAGTGTTTACGCATTTGCTGTCCTTAACACGGGGGGGGGGGGGCTCTAAGTGTTGTCAAGATGATCCATTGTGAACCAAACCTTCGTGTAAAGTTGCCTTTTTATCAGGGACTTTACACTATTAAAACAGGCCACGTTGATCAAAAGGTTGCCCAAATCTTTCCAAAACGTTGGCATGAAAATTGCTTCCATAGCGCTAAATTAAAATACTTCTAAAGACGAATACTCTTGGAAACTATTACATAATTCCATGCGTAGGCAAGCTTTTTTCTTACTCGTGTTTTTATTTAAATATCTTATTGGGCTAATGCCACCAAGTTTATATGCTTAAAAAAATAGAACCACCAATGGCAATGCTGTTGAGGACTTGATTCCTGAAGTTGTTTTTGACACTGAACCATCCATCGAAGTACGTATGTTGAACTTCTTTCGCACCGTACGTAGCCAACCGTGCTAATCGGAGGTGCGGGAGAAAGTAGCCATGACATTGTAATCAATGGTCTCCCAGAGTGGAGGTGGGGGGGTTACTCGAGGAGCATTTTCCTTGCATCTCGCACAAAAGGGAACCCCCCACTACCGTTCTTGGATTGTTGTTATTGCTAATGAATAAGGGGGTCTCCCAGTGGTATTTTGCACCAAGTCTCCAGGAACCTCTGGGCACCTCTGCTGTAATTTATCTGTTTGGTTTCCGAAAGTCAATGTTTGCAGATGTTTATCTACTTCATTGTTACGTACTGTAATGAAGAGCCATACAGGTTAAATATTGATGAACTAACAATTATAAACTCTATTCCAAGCAGGTGTTGGAAGCAGTTTTTTCTTTCTCTCGGTCATGCATTTTTGTGTCATGAATAACAATAGCAGTATATACTTTATACGAGTTTACCTTATTTCGATTTTGCGTGCATATTTGTGGATTTTTTGTAAAATGCACTATCTTGTATTTCATGGATATGTTCCTGGTTTTTGGATCAATTCGAGAAATAAATAAAAATCTGGTCAATATATTTTAAGATTTTAACCAGGAATTTTGGAAGTGACATCACCACCGTGGAATCTCATCTGGACTTTCCAAGAAAGTCCTATTGCAGGACTTCGCGTTGATGATTAAATACTTAAAATACGTTTAAAAGAAACTTTGAAACTGCAGTCCTGTCTTACTGGAAATATAAAAATGTGTTTAAAATACATTAACTTTTCAATGTAGTGCATTAACACTTAAAGTGATCTATATTTTATACATTTGCAAAATTATGCAAATACAAAATGTTTTCTGATATTGGGTCTCAAATCACGAATCCAATATCTGAAAAAATTAAATCCTAAAATTAATTACTGATGTGTTTAGAAATGTATACACACACGCAAGTATACATAATAGTAATACTAAATAAATCTGGACTTTCCAAGAAAGTCCTATTGCAGGACTTCGCGTTGATGATTAAATACTTAAAATACGTTTAAAAGAAACTTTAAAACTGCAGTCCTGTCTTACTGGAAATATAAAAATGTGTTTAAAATAATTAACTTTTCAATGTAGTGCATTAACACTTAAAGCGATCTATATTTTATACATTTGCAAAATTATGCAAATACAAAATGATTTCTGATATTGGGTCTCAAATCACGAATCCAATATCTGAAAAAATTAAATCTTAAAATTAATTACTGATGTGTTTAGAAATGTATACACACACGCAAGTATACATAATGGTAATACTAAATAATGGAAGTAACCCTTGCTCTGCCTAGCCTCGGGATAGAAATTGACCTTTTGCTGTCAGCCCCAGCTAAGCCTTCCGATTTGTGGCCTCGAAGTTCCAGTGAAGATAATGTGGTTTGACAGGTGAATGTTGCCTCTAGCTTGCTATTAATCTCAATATGGGAAGAGTCTTCTCACCCCAGGGGGCCAGCTGTTCGTGTATTGAGGGACATGACGTGCAATGACAAAAGTTTAAGGACTATTAACTTATTTATTTTCAAAATATGTAACAATTCATGAGTGTTTGTGTGTGTATTGGTGTGACATGGATACTGCCACAATTCTTTGAGAAATCTACAAGGCAACGTTGTCATTAACCGGACTATACATTGAGGTGGAGGGGATTATTTGTAAATTAATAATGGCACTGCAAGATGGCCAGGAGATGGTATTCCAAAGTGTCACCCCCTTCATAAGTGTGGGTTTCCTCCGGGTACTCCAGTTTCCTCCCACATGCCAAAAAAAAGGTTTGTCCAAACATCTCAATGCAGAACCCCTCCTGAAAACTGAGTCTCTAGACTCGGTGACACTTTCCTGGGGGATAAAATATTATTGGGCATCATTAAGTACATCCAGTAGTGATGCATACACTCGATGACATTTAATTGTTGCGTGTAAGAATCTATTACATTATTTACAATCGATACAAATTGTGTGCCGATGTTGATTACATTTAGATGATTAGAACAAACGAATTAATATAAAAGAAGATTTGTTTAAACAAAACTATACAAAGGAGGTGGCAAAACAAGATTTAAAAAACTCCGCTGCCTTTAGTACACGTGCCATGCCCGAAACGTGGCTAAATATATATTTTTCCTCTTTTAAGGCAGTGTTAAATGAGTGAGTTACTTTTTGTTTGTTTGTTAATTGTGTTTGTGCACCACTGCCAGAGTGCAGCATCACTGAATGTCTTCGTGGGGGTCTGGAGAGGTGGAGGGGGGGAGACTAAAAGTGTTTTCAATACCACAGTATTTTCAAAACCCACTTGACGCCATCGCTATTGCTTTTGGTTAGGCTTATAATAGGGCAAAGATTGTCGTGTACCCCTAGGATATAAACCAGAATTGTCCGTACAAAGCTGTATCCATCTCCTGCTTTCACGTCCGTCTAATACGCAGCTATTAAATATGTATGGGCCACTGTGGCAAGCAAAATCCCTCTCACAATGGTTTATAAATACTCTATTTTTGCCAGTGGCCATACATTTCTAACCACGCCTCAATAAGGGCGCCAGGAGTCTGGTCTCTGTGGCCCATTAAGCAGTCCACTCTATACACGCACAGGTGATGAGCACAATGGCACCAACCTTGCAAATGTCAGTGGCTCGGAAAGTTAATGCCCTCATCTGGAAACGGAGTCAGCATTGAAAAATACCAGAATGCGCATTGATAACAAAATATATAAATATCCCCCCCCCCACTCCCAGACTGTTGGGGCAAATACAATTAGCGAGCACCGATGAAGGGCGGTACAGCACACGAGAGGTGTGGGTGGCCAACACCATGCCCGGCCGCCTTTGTCTCTCGTGGCGATGTTTACACACTGGACCAGGTACTTATTTGAGGCCAAGTCGACGTAGGGGAGGCCCAGGACCAGTTAAATTGATCATCACTGGTGTTGACCGTGAGCCGGAGTCCAACCCGGGTTTGCCAGGTTCGTAGTGCAGCGCGCCTACCGCTACACTACCGCACATTGACAACAACGCACACAACCAACCACACAACTATTGGATGAATGTTTGTGTGGTTGCTTGACTGATGGTGTTGGTTGGTTGGTCCCTTGGTTGCCTGGATAGTTGGTTGGTTGATTTGTATACTTATGCAATTCGGACTTTGTATACAAGAACGGTTTAGTGGTGGCAAATACTTGTCCATCCAGCGCTGTGGAGGCGAGGGTTTGTGGATCACACAAATGTTGTAGAACTCCATTCCCGTGGGTGTCGAGGTGCCATACATACCCTGGCTCGCCAGTAAAAGGCAGTCCAGAAAAGTGGACGAATCGCCATCTGTTTCCACACGTACAGGGATAGTGTCCCCTCGCATGCGGGGATTTTCTCCCACTTGTATAATAATAAACACTGATTGGCTGAAGCATCTTTAAACAATAAACCACTGCAGATACCCTCCTGCTAAAAAAGAGCCCCTATCACTCCGTGTGGCCCTCCTGGATTAAATAAGTAATTCAGTAGGTCACACTGAGAGTGAGTCAAACATCTGCAGGTTGAGGCATTAGAGTGGTAAGAAAAGCTGCGTCTGATGCGATTTTAAGCAGAGATTCCGAGAAACCGGGCAGTCCCCTGTATCCACGGGAATGTAGGCGATGTACAGTGCACGAGGGAATGCTGCCGTGGTGTACAATGGTTTGCATACTGGGCTTGCAATCCAGAGGTCGCCGGTTTGATTCGATCTCCAGGTATGGCAGTTGAAACAACCAGGCAAGTCTCTTAAATCCCCCCCTCCGCCGTCTCTGTCCACCCAGCAGCGTTTGCCGCAGTCAACTAGCAGCTGATGCGTGGTGGGACAACGTGGCGTTTCTCTTATGCCTTCCAAGATGTCCAGCCAACGTGCAAGAATAGGCCAAAATACGCTCTAGATGGGACTGTCTGGAGCTCCTTCTCGTGGAGCTCCTTCTCGTGCAGGTCTGCCGCTTTACCTTTACATGAAACGTTACGTGTAGCCATACCTGGTTCTGTAACTAGGGGGGGCAGCTGTAAGTGGTACATCTGTAACAATTTGTTCCCTTCAAAATGTCATGATTCTTTTAAATAATGGATTACTTTTCGTTTTCTTGTGCTTTGTGGAGCAGATGCTTGTGGCTGCAGCGGTCAAATGAACTTAAGAGTATTTCAAGAGAAACTCGACACTAGTTCAATAACACTGTGGCCTTAAAGGAAAACAATGGGCAAAGCTGCATACTACATAAACAGAGTCCAGAGAGACGGAGTAGATTATAAGAGTTGGAAAATTTACTCAACACCATGAGGGTCTGATGAGAATTAAATATTTCTAAATGTTCTCACGACCAGTTATTGAATATGCATATGAATACTTACCTAAGAGGGTCTATTGCGTAACGGACAACCCCTTTCAACTTTACTACTAAATACACGTATTTATATATTAAAAGTAATATTACATGTTGCTGACACAATGCATTGTGGGAAGGTCTGTTCTTGTTCCAACAAACAAGGCACAACTCCCCCGGCAGTGCATTCCTGGGTCCCATTACCACTGCAATAACAAGGACTTTAATTGCCATAAATTTCAAATGCAGAGATGTCTGGGAAATAAAATGTGGCGTAGTGTGCGTTTTCATTATATAATAAGTTTTTTTTGGGTTCGATAGCATAAATATATAAATGTCGTTAAACCCAACACCACCCAACAACCAATTAGTAAGGTTTGTCACGTAAACAGAATATGCCAATTCGTTACTAACGAGTTAGCTGTGTCGGGTGGTGGCGGGTTCAACGACACATTTATATATTTACGCGATCTAACCCGAAAAAAACATGTCTTATGGATGATATTGAAGTGTATATACATATTTAGTTTAGAACAACTGATCATAATATTTCTTGTCGATCCACGGCTGCATAAACAACCCCCACGGCTTTGTCAGTCCACGGGGGTTGTTCGACCATACTTCACCATGCTGGCCCAGTGCGGGTTGGTGAAGGGACATTCCCAGGACCGGTTCAGATGTCACTTGGCCCTGAACGTTAACTTTGACTGGGAATTAAACTCAAGTTGTGAAGGCCCCGCCCACCACTCGCCTAAGTTAATCACCACACGTGACCAAATCCACTTGTTTGTGAACAATACTTTTTTTTTGCCCGATGGTTCCGTCGGCAGCAATGCGACAAAGAAACATCGGGCAGTGTCATATTTTGGCCGTTTCGTGCAGATGTACGTAGGTTTAACTTCTTTCGCACCGTACATAGCCAACCGGGGACGGTTGTTTGTGGAAAAAGATGGGCCCCCCCCCCCCCCCCACTTGGCATTCTACCCCCCGGGCCTGCCCGTGGGTGTTCCCCTCGACACGAGTTTGATTCTTTAAGTAGCGTGCGTCAGTGCACACCATTGTTCCAAAATACCTGTTGGCAAGCATGTCATGGTACGACAATGTTCACACGGGATCTTTGTCCGCATTTTTGATCAATTCAAGAGTGTGGCAACGGACCCAAAATGTGCTCCGTAATGTATCTACAGTTGTGTTTGTTTTGTGTAAATATTCTGTGCGTGTAAACATTCTAGAATGTTTTATCATGTTGACGATAATTTGACTATGTAGTGAGGTACACGTTGATGGTCCTGTGTCAGCGGGACATTCAACGTGTTCAATAAACAAAATTGAAATATACCCTGGGGGGATTTATCAATTGAAACTTGAAGCTTGCTGACGGTGGAGGTGGTTAAAACTGCGGTGCATTTTGTTTCGTTATATATCGTCGTCTGTTTGCAGACGAGTACAATAGTCGCCCCATATCCGTGCCATGTTTCTGTAACTTACGTTATAATTGTAGCTATGATCAGTCTAAAAATAAAGCTGCTCTACAGGGAATATACTATTTATTTGTCTATCTATTTGCTCTGATTTCTCCATTGCTGTACATTATTTTAATTGTGTTTGCAATTATGGTGACTCGGGGTCACTCTTGCAAATGAGACTCTCTCCTGGTCTCTTCCACCTGATTAAAACAAAATCAACTTGGACTGAATACCTGTGGCTGGGCCATAGGCATATAAAGTATTACATTAACATTATTGAGGTGGTGGTAGGGTGCTAAGTGCAATGTGGCCCTCTGCAAGATCTGGCTTGTTGCATTTGCTGGTATTTCCAAGCTTGCCCTGCTATGCCTTGGCAACGGGCCAAAGCAAACACAGTTAATCGCGTTATGGATTGTCCCCCCCCCCCGCAAATTTTACGTTATATAATTAATACATTAAATTAGCTCTTCGATACTGTGCAATGCTGCGGGTGCTTAATAAAATACGCTTTGATGCGCGTAGTGCCCATGCATGTCACCTCGACATGTCCGAGCGGTAATTGGCGCGTTTCCCTCCGCTCGTTGTAGAGGAGCGAGGTTCGAGTCCAGACTGCCGCCCTCGTCACCACTGTGCGGGGTTGTGAACCAGAAAGGTATGCGCCATCGGGTTTGCAGCGATCGTCATAGATGCTGTGACGTTCGTTTGAAAAGAGTCGGCAATGCGTGCCAGCATCACGTTCAAAAGTTTCCAAAATGTTTTGTTTGAATAGTACCTGCAAATTATTGAATTGGTACAACCACAATATTGACTCCTACCGGATGACTCCATCTGTAAAATATAACCTCTTCATAATAGCATTGTCTGATATAAAAATAAATCTATCAACACCAAGTGTCAAAAATATATTACATATTGGGGACTCTTACAATTTGTACTTTGAACTGTAATGCAACATTTATATATTTGCGGCATGTATACAATGTTATATACAAAATGGCCCAGTTTTTACATTTAAAAATAACGTGGGATGAAAAACCCATCGGGAAATCTCGTAGTGCAGTGCAGCTCGTGTTCGAGAATGGCTCTAGAAAATAATATTCGGAGGACCTCTTAAAAATACTCGCAATTACCTTTTTTCATTACATGGTCAGGGTCACACTTCCTTATACATTCTGCTGTGAGATTGTCGCCTGATTATATTATTTGTTATGCTTAGAGGTGCAGATTATACAAATTAAGTTAACTCAAATTTATCACGGTGCTTTTTTTTCAGACGTTAATCAGTAACCGGGCTGATCCTGTTGACTCCTTATGCTTGAGAACCTATATCATCATTGGGGGTCAAAACCTGGACTTGAACTCTGACCTCTGGGTCAACCACTCTCTAAAACATCTTTACGAAAACAACTCCATATGCTCAGCAACAACACTACCTTAAAGGCAGCAATATATATCAGCAATGTATGGACAAATGGCCCTTCTTCATAGCACGTACACATTTAAGTGCTTTGAGGAAGGGCCATTGCCAGAAATGTGACGACTGTGAGTTTGTTTGTTAATTGTGCTTGTGCACCACTGCCAATGCATCATCACCAAATATCATAGTGGTAAAGTGGATTTTTTTTTTATAGCAAATGTTACTTAACCACATGCCCATGACCCCCCGATAAGCAGAATTCTATCTATGAGGTGGGTGGCTTTGAACATAACAGTACTTGTCATTGTCGTAGTCATCGTGGCGGTCATAAATACAATTCGTATTTGTGGACGGTGTGCTTGTTCAGTATTTCGTGAACAAGGTCTGAATCTATTTAAGAGCTGCTTCCAAACAAAAAATAAAACATCAGCTCTTCGCTTATGAGCTACGTGCGGCTGTTCATTACCGAGCAAAGCAATTTAATTAAAGTGCCATTCAATCGCGATTTCAATAGACTGGAATGAGAGTATTTTTTTTGCTTGCTTTTTAAAGTAAGCCTTTGCTGGGAGCTATGGACCAACAATGGTGAGAGAGGTGATTGTGCATAAGCTTTTGTAGGGGTAGCACTATAAAACGCATCATCTTGCTTGGCAGTGCAACGATTGATTTTTAGTTTCTCTCTCACAAAAGCACAGTGTGCTCCTTTACAATCTCTCTGGGCATATAGCATTTCCAGCCATACAACGGCTCTCCTTTTGTCATTTATTGCCAGCACTCTACACACACTCACACGCGCCGTTTTGCTCAACCCCTCGTTTTATTCTGACCGCAAAAGCGAGGCCGTGCGATACGTGTCCTTTGCGCAAGGAAAATACGAACTTCGGAGTGTTGTTTTTCGTATGTAATTTCACTTGGCTTTCGGAGTACCTGGGGGGAATCGTCTGAAACACGTGTTCTTTGGTCTGTTGGCAATGAGAAGAGCTTCTCTTGCCGGTCGTTGACCCCACAAGTATTACGGGGGCAGCAGGTCACATTGCTTTCCGAGCTGGGCCACCCTTTCCGAGCCCCTGTCTCTTGTTAATTAAAAAAGCAAATAAATTGACAACTGTTATTTTGTACGTTGCTCGGTTGTTAATGGGGTAAAAACAATGTTATGCAATGATTTTCGTGAAATGAAAAATACCCTTAACATAGCGCGCATGTCTTGAAGTCTAGATATTCATATGTTATTACGTGTACAGAAAAGTATAGATATTTTTATCAACGCTTAAGTATTTTTTGTCTTCTATTTTTTGTAATGGGAGATGTTCATGAAATCTCCCTTCCCACCATCACCTTAATCCAACCAGAGGCATAAAGAGGGTGTAACCATAGTTGGTGAATCGGCAGGTCGCATGCGGTGGGGGAAAAAGGGTGGATAGTCCCACCTCTTCCAAGACGTTCAGCCAATGTTGGCTGAACGTCTTGGAAGAGGTTGTTGAATAGTCAGTGGAAATTCTCGCCCAGAGGGGCTCCCTCTAGCGGACGCCCTCCTGACAGCAGTGGCAAGGGATTCCAGCACTGCGTTCGTGTCTGTTTCTTGGAGTGTAGATATATTTAATCTTGATTTGAAGCTTTCGTGACTGCAGGAATCCATACTCTTTGGTTCTTTCGGTAAAGTCACGTAGGTATAAATTTTATTTATTTATCTTAATAAAATGATTTATTTTATACCTACGTCATTTTACCGAAAGAACTAAAGAGTAAGTAGATGTATATATTTTTTAGCTGTACACGGCATTGGCTCTAAATCCAATAGTGGTCGCTGAACTAAAGGCCAATCGGCAAAGTTTGGTTGTGGCCAAATGATTAATTATTTTGACTTAAAGCTTTCGTGACTGCAGGAATTCTTATTCTATGGGTCTCTCGGTAAATTCGCGTAGATAGCTTCGATCCGCTTGCGTTGCGATCAAAACGTCGTAGTTTTTTTGTTATTTTATTTGAACCTATGTACGTGACTTTACCTAAAGACCCATAGAATATGCTAAATTATGTATCAACAATATACCTCGTATATAAAATAGAAATGAATTACAGCCCTTTGCCAGTCCACTGCTGGATGAAGGCCTCCCCCACACCATATCAGTCGAAGGGATCGTTAGGCCATACTTCACCATGCTGGTCACTGGATTTTGCATGTCCTTGAGATGAGAATTACACGAAAATAAATGCTGACAGGCAAGCAAATTTTTGGTTGATTTTCAATTATCACATTTGCCCATGAAGTAACAGCTTTATATGTTAATTACTTTGTCTCGTGGTGGAGGGTTATTGTCAAAACATTTACAGTATCCCACACAAAAAATGAAAGCCTATGTATGGAATTTTTTTTTTTTATTTAAAGAACACTTAACAATTCTGCACCATGCGTCCCGTTGCATATTGTGTACACACCCAATTAAACAATCGCTTCAATGAAATGGCACAGCTCTTTGCATTGGGGGTTGATTTTGAAGCCTGTGTGGCAGCTCATGTGTATTGCTCACTTTCGTTTGAGCAGGTTCCAAAACCGCACGTTCTTTAGAGGAACTGCCTGCTGCCAATACTCATTTGTTGGTTGTTTTCGCAATGTCTGCGTTCCCTTGTTAACCTTATTACTTTTACCCTTGGAACCTTCATACTTGTAGCAGAGGCGCTGCGGTTTATTGTCGATGCTCTGTGGCTGTCGCAGCTTTTGCGTGAGATGCACCGATTATTTGGAAAAAAATGTACAAATGTCAACATCTCTCTCTCTCTCGCCCTCTCTTTTTGTCCCCGTCTGGCAAATTGACAGGTGACAAGGGAACAGCGCCTGTGGTTTTCTCTTCAATCTCCAAGGGAGGAATCGAGTGAAGACAAGAGGGAGGGTGGGGGCTGAACTGGACTGAGAGGGTTGCTGGAGACTGGGTTTAGGGGTGGAGTGGGTTGGGGGGGGGGGGCCGGAGATTCTGCCGGTGGAGAAGAAGAATAATAAGGTGGGAGGGGGGGGGATAGTGAAGCGTTGTGGTGGCGGAAGTGGCCGTAATGGCAGGGTCGATGGACTGGGGAGGACAAACCACAGGCCGTGGTGGAGGCGGTTGCGGTAACAGTCGCGTGCAGGTGACAACTCATCTGCCCTCGCCGTCTACCTACAGCGACCAGTCGGAACCTGTGAGTAGTCATCCGCATTTACTGATGACACTGTTTATGTGCAAGGGTTGTTTACCAACCTGTTTTGTATATTAATTACGGTGTTTTTTTAGTGTGTGGTGGGAAACTGAGCATGCGCCAACGATCGCAAACTTTCTTAGTTGCGCTCTCGTGTCACGTGTGTGATGTATTTTGTGCGGAAGCTCGGGATAATTTTTTTGCAAACGTAGCAAGAAGGTCGTGGGTTTGAGTCTCGACCTGGGTGCCCTACTCTTTGTTTCTTTCGATAAAGTCACGTAGGTAGAAGAAAACTAATAATTGATCACGACGTTTCGATCGCCACACAAGCAACCGTCTTCAGGTGCCCTTTTTCCGTGTGGAGTTGGTATGTTCTCCCCTATCTTGCATGAGTTTTCCGCCGCGTTGTAAGGGTTCTTCCCATGGTAAAACAAAACAAAAACACGATTTAATTGGTATTGGCCAGAGAATTAAAAAAAAGGGAAAAACATGTATCTGTAAATGTCTCATTTGGGATTGCACATAGCAGCATTGCCTCCTACTGCAAACAACTTGGCAGGAGACTTCAGACTCGGGTGAGGCTTTCCTTGGCACAACAAGCATATTAATTAAATAATGCAAGTTGCACAAATACAGGGACATCGACGTTACACGATCGCTGTGCTGCAAGAATTTCGGTGGCTGGGGCTGGTGGAGTTTGTGCGCGTGGTTGAGAAACTGCCTGGATCACTGGAATAGTTGGATTCATCAGGCTGTTGAAAATTGCCAAATTGCCCGGCAAAAGTTAAAGGGTGCAGCCTTGAAATTGCTCGTTCATACCACTGCTGGTGGAAGGGCCCCCATGAGAGGGAGCTTTTAGACACCCGCTCTAGAGGGTATTTGGCCTACTCTTCCATGCTGGCCAGATGTCTTGTTAAGAGGTGGGAGTACCGACACCTTCTTCTGGATGCTATGCAGCCTTATTCACATTTTTTTAAAATAAAGAATCAACACAAGATAAGATTGTCCCCACGTATCTGCATTCCAGAAACATAATATGCGACGCTGTGCAAATGTGTATGTACACGCCATTCATTCAACGTGACGTCGACAAAAGAATATGGATCTTTTATGAAATCAATCACACAGCAGTTAGGCAAGATATTTTTTTTCATCATGTTACAGCATGTCTCACGTTTTCAGTTCGTGGTATGTGTCCTTTAAACCATAACCTGATGCCTGCAAGGTGAACTTACTGTGCGTTATTATGCAAGATGATAAGGTGGAAAAGTGGTCGGAGCACTGAGCTATGAATCTGGCCAATTATGCGAGTGTGAGGCTACCAGTTCATAGCAAATGGCACATTCTGGCAGTCCGCAGAAATAAATAAAAATTCTTGGTCAATGTGGGAATGGAACCGTTGGGTCTGCGTGATCTGGCTCTGCGGCAGGCGCAATAATTGGCGCAGTTCCACTGCCGTGCGCTTGTTTGTTGACTCGGTCATCTTCAGTGCTAACGGAGTCGTTATGCCTCGTTGCGTCGGCGTACAGCACGATTGTTTTTTTTAATGAAGCAACCGTGTAATTTTGGCGATTACGACGTTTCGGCGTTCCCACGTTTCCCTAAGATTGCACCTAGAACGGCCAGCCCAATAATCCGCCGATTTCCCGGAGCGAGGTGCAGCACGCACGGTTCGGTGTAGGGGGGTGGGGGGGGGTGTAGCCAGCGGCCTGTCCCTCTCCCTCCCTTGGTCGTAACGAGGGGGGGACTGGATAGACAAACACAATGAATAGATACTCTGCGTTCGTGTTCTGTCCTCCTGAGAAGTAGAGCGACTCCACGGCAGATGGGCACCGGAGCTTTGTGAAACAGTAACGCTTTGTTTCAAAGTGTTTATTTTGAAGAGCGTTCACCTATCGGCAGTCATGACCAGACACACCCTAATGACCCCCCCCCCCCCCGCGGCACACAGCTCAGTCCCTCAGCACGGGGGGGTTTGGAGGGGGGAGATGCACGCGAAGGCCAATAACCCCCGTCGCTAAGTTCCCCCAACGACGGAAGTGAAAAACTCGCCCACGGTCAAGATTGAGCGAAGGCTCTCGTAAAAACAAGTAATGGGTGAGGAGGGATGGGGCACTACTGTGGGGTTAGATTATTGCCGTGTAAGTGCGTACATTGTGTGCCCACGTCAGCCAGCTTGAGTGCTTTTAATTTTCTGCAAGAAGCCCTCGATGTTTTTCGGCGGAGGGATGTCTGTTTTTTTTTATGTTGCGTAGTTATTCGAACCATATGCCGCTTTTTATTTATTTATCGAATCTAGCTTGGCGTGTGTAGCAAAATAAATTGTGTTTTGTGCGCCGATTTTACTCCTTCTACGAAATGTGTTCAATCTGTGTGCTGCGCGAGCCCTGTGCAATTAAAGTGATATAACACCCGGCGTACCGTTTGCCGGCATTTGCGAGCAATTTAGTGGGTAAGTGAAAAGTCGAGGCAGCCCTGGGTAAAAGCGTGGCTCTGAAGGCTGGGGTGTAATCGCGTAAATATGGAACTGTTTCCAATCTCTCAAATGCCCCCATAAAAAATGGCAAAGCATGTTTATCTTTTCGTAAAAGATGCCCGCTCATGTGAGAGACTGTGTCCACAGAATTGGCTAAGAACCACTTGATGACAGCAAAAACTCGCCTTGACATTCCACAGCCTCCTTCACACATGGAACACAGGGCACTGTCTGTATCTGGGGACCATCTCCAAAACAACAGCCAGAGTTGTTTTGCCTTTTTTTGTCTTTCACTTCTTTCATGTTCTTCTTATCAAATATTGTTATGACTTGTGAAATAAAGCCATGATGCAATGTTTATTATTTACCATAATCCGTAATTATAGTAACACTGCATAGCCATTTGTCATTCCACTACTCGATGAAGGGTGCACCCCATGCTTGTTTGGTAGTAGGGGTTGTTTGACCATACTTCACTCTTTTGCGTGATTGCTCCCAACCCCCCTTGATTTCAAGCAAGTAAAATATGCAGGACTGGACATGATGAAGATTAATATTTAATCAAATCCATGCTCAATCCACTGCTGGATAAAGGCCTTCCCCAGCCGTCGCCACCTCTCACGATTCTGCGATGTAACGATAAATTTGACTAATATAATGATCTTCATTTAATATAATAATTATTAAAATAATAATCTCTTTTAAAAAGCCATTATTGAAATATCTCAAAGCCCTATACTTGAAAAAACTAAACTTACACGTAACGATATAATCTAATTGGAATATAATACAGTAAAAACCAATAATAATAGCAATGATAAATCAAGCGCTGTCCTACCAGACAGTCTCGTCCCTTCACCTGATGAAGGCCGCTTGTGTTGTGGCCGAAACGTCGTGAGAATATTATTGTGTTATTTTATTTTATCAATTTATTATTTTATTCTCATTCTACGTGACTTTACCGAAAGAACCAAAGAAGATAAATCAAGAATGATTATACTCGCAATACAGATAATGTTGGAAACTAAAGTAAAAGCCAATAATAATGACACTATAGGTAATCCATTAATTTGCCATCTAGGCATTAACCACAACTGTCTGGTCTCCCTTGGTATGTTGACCTATATGAAAATGACTGCAGCAACAGGTAGGATGTATAACTAAACTGCTACTGTATTAACTATTTTATTTTACCCGGTAAGGTCCACTGAGCTGTATAGCACTTTCTCAGAAGCGACATGGCTGCATATGATAGCCCAACAAAGTGGTTTATCACGTGGACATTTAGAGCAGCCAAATACTCTAAATGCACGATTCTCATTGTGGAGGGAAAAACCGGAGGACCTGGAGGGAAAAAATTCACGTGGCCATGCGGATAGGAGAGAACATGCAAATTCCAAATTTACAGCAGGCATCAGGGTAGGGATCGAACCCACGACCTCCTGTAAACAAGGCGAGGCAGTTAACATCTTGCCATCGTGGCGGTGCACAAGCATCAGCGCTTCCGGAAGTGTAGCAGCGACTGGCAGGGAGGGAGCCCGCAGCACTAAAGTCGGCCTTCGAGGGTGGCCGCCATCGCCCAGCGCTTTGCCCTCCACTGTCTGACTGAATGACAGGGTGTGGGGTAATCTGTGTGAGTGTGTGTGTAGTGGGGAGCGGTAGTGTAGCGGTTAGCGCGCTGCGCTATGACCCTGGCGACTGGGGTTCGATTCCCGCTCACGGCCAACACCGGTGACGGATTATCTGAACCGGTTCTGGGACTTCCCTAGATCGTCTCAGCCTCAAATGAGTACCTGGTGCAGTGTGTAAAAACATTGCCACAAGGGAGACAAAAGTGGCCGGGCGTGGTGCTGGACACCCACTCCCTTGTATGCTGTTCTGGCCTTCATAGGTGCTCGCTAACAGCACTTGCCCCTAAAGTATGTTAAGGCTATATGGGGGATCTTTGTCTTTTTGTGTGTGCGCGTGTATGTGGGAAGCGGTAGTGTAGCGGTCAGCACGCTGCTCTACGAACCCGATGACCCGAGTTCGATTCCCTCTCACTGTCGACAATGACGATGATCTGAACCGCTCCTGGGCCTCCCCTAGTTTAACTCGGACTAAAATGAGAACCTACATGCGGTGTGTAAACATTGCCGCTGGGGAGAAAAAGGCGGTCGGGCGTCGTGCTGGCCACCCGCGCCCTTCGTGTGCCGTGGCCGGCCTTCATAGTTGCTCGCTTAACAGCACTCGTCCCTACGGTCTGTTGGGGCTATTACAGGGGATCTTTGTGCGTGTGTGTTTAGGGTTTGAATGTGGAAGCCGAAGAAGGCGGTGGGCTGCCCCCATCGCCGGCAGGGTACCAGGACTCGTGCGAGAGCTGGCTGGCATCGGCGTGGGTCGGCGGACACCACCAGGTGGAGCCAAAAGCCTACTCGCCCACCAAGGTGAGGGCACTCAATCCTCCTGCTCCCGGCTACAACAATGCCAATGTAGCCGGTTTCTTTTTACAATCTTAGTTTTACAGGCCTCCTAAGTCCAGCCGACGGCAGCCCGCCGAGCTGTAGTCAAGTCTCTGTCTGTGGATTTAATTTCGCCATTCTCTTCGTCTATTCGACCAGAAATCTTTGACGTTACAGCCAAGACTCTGGATTCCAGTTTGTTCGTTCTGTTAATCTGGTCGCCTGTAGCAGTTAAAGTTTAGTCCACGCTTTGTTAGTAAATGTTGGCGTGAGGGGAGTGCGATTACCACCCCCATCAATATTATCGCCGGTCAATTCTGAGAACTCCGTAAATAAAATTGCCAATTACCATGTCTGGCCATGGAGTCACTGCAGTCTCTAATAACTAGACTATCTTAATCTGAGCCTTCATTCAGACTCGTTAACTCGTCTCATTGCAGTCGAATCACGCTGTGCTCTTTGGTGGGCAGCAAGTTGTGGCCAACGTCGCCACTTAATGATGTCCATTGGCTCACAGTCATCTTTGACTGAATTTATAGATCTAACAAAAATGTTGACGAATATTTTTTGTCACTAATTCCGTGAGCAAAATTTAACACTGACCAACACTCTTGGCCTATTATCGGACACACTCTGTGTGTGTGTACCTAACCTGGCACTAGCTCCGTGGTGACGTCACTGCCACTTAGTGGCGAACAGCGGTTCTTATAATTCTGCCAGCAATGGATCGTGGCAATTTCCTGATATTTATGAGAGGGAACACGTCCCTGTACTTAATTTTTTTTTGTTCATGACACCATATAAAATATATATGTAATGGAGGCATGGTATGAAATTCACTCCTGCATTGTTAATATGAATATACTCTGTTATCCCCCCCCACCACCCATACCCAAACCACCAACGTTAACTCATCTTGCCCATTTGCTGGATGTCATTCTATTTCTCAGTAGGTTTATGACCGAGCCAGCACACATGGTGAATTCGCGGAAATCACCGGTTCCAGTAGTAATAATAAACCCCATTTTGTAAACCACAGACATACACTTTAAATTTAACACATTCCCACCCCCCCCCCCCCCCCCACCGTTCTTGTCAGATTCTGTACCAATTTCAACATTTTAGGATACATTTTAACGCACACATATACGAAAAAAACAATCCTAACTTATGGCTTGCGCAAATGTCAACGTCCGAATAAGAGTCTCGTTGTCCCCGAAATAGAGGAGCCCTTCGGTTTCTGAGTTACGGCGTTGTCCTTTCTCACACTGCAAACGATGGCACTGACAGCAGGAGTGGAGCGGCGCCTTAAAAGAGTTCGAAAGCTCGATTTGCGACATCGAGGAGGGACTGCAGAGAATCGCGCGAAAGCTGGAGACGAAGGCCACGCATATCGCCGTGGCCATGAAAGATTTGCAGGCAAGGACGACGCTTAATCCGCATCACTGGTAGAATAATTCACTGGCAGATGCAACGTTAATGGGCATTGGACGTCAGCAAACCCTTCTTGATGAACGCAACTGCTGCGTTGGACGGCTTGTATTTTGACGTGTGTTTATTAAACTGTCCTCGTAAAGAGACTTTGTTTTTCTGATTCTGGATCTCGCTCGGTGGGACCCTGTAATAGAATAAATACATTGATTTGTTTTGAGTGTTTGCCATGCCCCAAAAGCGATGTTGAGCTGTACATGGTAATTAATTGTACGAATGGGATTCATAAACTGCAGCTAAGCCATTTATACATTTCAGGGTTGAATAATATAACACACAAACACTCGCAAAAAGATTGCCAACACATCTTGTTTTGATATCAGAGTTGGCCTGGGTGCTTTTAGGGGCTCTGTTTCGCTAGCCTTCAAGCACCAAGGACCCTACATTTTTCCCTCAGAGCTGATAATGATTCTCAGAACTTTATCAAAGTCCTTCGGAGGGATGAGGTCCCATTTTTCCAGTTCCGATGGACATAGTATGCGCCTAATACACGCCGTACGACATTTTAAAGACGACACTTGTCCCGTCACATTTTCGCAGTGGGTGGGTGTTATCACGTTTCTTGACCGACTCGGGTGAAAGCTGAAAGAAAAGTCCGTGGCGGAACTCATCTCCCGCACATATCGATGGCAGTAACGAGTATTTTCAGATAATGACAACTGTTGACTTCCCTCCACCCCCACACAAACTGCTACCGGTACATTTTGTTGACCTAGTAGCGATGAAGGACTGAGTCCGACCCCCTGGCTCGAATTGGAACTCGCAGAGTTATGCCTTTGCGAGCCATGTACTCTGCCACTGTGTCACCCAATTGGTCAACAGTCGTAATTATAGTTTAGTTACATTTAGTATTCCATCATGAATGCGCGACATTTCACGGACGAGTATCATCTGCCAGTAGGCGGCGATGTTGCTACGTGTTTCCGCCCCCCCCCCCCCAATCAAGTAAATAAGGATGGAAGGCTTTCGCGGGAGCGAATTAATATGCAAGCGATTCTGAGCCGTTTAAGAGTGCTCCTCGGTGTTTTCTTCGGGATTCTTTACTGTGCTCCTATTTCATCCAGTGATGAAACTTCACGGCCAAAGCATAGTTTTATTTTAACCTCGTTCTTAAAAACTTTTTTTTAAAGCCGCACAGCATTACCCTTGGATATTGCCTTTGGCGTGCGGTGAGCAAATGCATTTCTGCTTGTCGCTGTGAATGTCACCCTAAATGTGGTTGCGGTGGGGTGCACCTGTGGCACCACTGACTGGTGGCTGCTGCTTTGATATATCGCCGCAGGACATGATAATTGTCTCTGTACCAGCTTGTCACTGTCTTGAATCACAGGCCAGGTTTACAATAATGGCACAGATCCCAGGGAATTGCGAAATAGAAGGAGTGTATATATATAATTTTTACATTCAACATCATCGGCCGCGATCGATGCACTGCTGGATGAAGGCCTCGCCAAGCCATCGTCACCTCTCATGGTCCTGCGATGTAACGATCCATGGAGCACTTGCACGTGCGAGCTGGTTGCATCGCTCCATATTCGCGGTGGACGTGCCCCAGGACTTGTTTCCACCTTTGGCTGTATCTCTGTCGTGAGCCTCGACCGGCGGCTGTCATCCCTTCCATCGACGTGCCCCCCTAAGCCCCATTCAAGTTTCTCAACAGTCACAATAATGTGCGGTACATTTAAGAGTAAATCATATAATTTCCATATTGCTTAAGCCGTTTTAACAACTTATATATACACACAAAAAAATGACCTTATACGTAAAAAAAAAATTCAGGCTATTTGAATATTTACCTTTTATTATTATTATCATCGAGTGACAGAGGTGTAGAGTATTTGGTGGCGTTCTTCTGCGTGCGGAAAAAGCGCGGCGAAGTAGCACTCGGGTGTTTTTTTTTTTTTTAATGGGAGACCTGGAACGCGCGTAGCGACGGCGGCTGACGTTGCGCTGCGGTGTGTTCGTGCGTGCCGGGCAGTGGGTGTGGGACGAGCTGGATTGCTGGCACCAGCGCATGGCGCTGCTAGAGGCGGCGATGCAGGACTACGAGGGGCAGCATCCGGAGAGGGCGCCGGGCCTGGGCGAAGCCGCCTTCACCCTGGCGCAGCTGTACAACGTTCTGCGGAGCCAGGCGGAGCGTCGCACAGCCAAGCTGAGGCGGGCAAGTGCGCCGCTTGTGCATCGCCGCGAGTCTGGGAGGGAAGATCTATATGTTTGAATGAATAGAATGTTTTGCCCGACACATTTCTGCCACCTCTCTCAGGTCCCCCTGTCCTCTCTTCACCGGTGTCTGAAATGTGAGTTGGTTGCTCGCTGACAGTGCCCTCGGCCGATTCTCCCTATTGAGAAAATGAGCAGCACTTTTTGACCCTGTTATAACCTATTTTTTGTATATTTTACTGTTTTACCCATCAGCTGTGTTTTTTTCTTTCCTGGTCGTTCCATGGATTATTGTTAGACTACTTACTGTAGCTCATTGCACACCTCTGTTTTGGCAGTTTCAACATTTTTCACCGAAAAGTTTAACCACTCTTGGTTTAGCCACTTCTGATTTAGCCATCTTGGATTCGAGGGATAGATTGAGCGGAAATCTGGGGGGGGGAGGGGGGGGAATATGACTGCAGTTTTTCTCTTGCACGTGTTGTACTTGTGTTTGGAATCACAAAATATTAAGACAAAAATCCTCCGTATAGCCTGAACAGACTTTTACGGCAAGTGCTGTTAGCAAAGATATATGAAGGCTGTCATGGCACACGACGAGATGGGTCGCCATCGTCATGCCCAGCTGCCTTTGACTCCTCAGTGCCAATGTTTACACACAGCACCAGACACTCATTCAGATAATCGTCACCGATGTTGGTCGCAAGCGGGAATCGAACTCAGGTTGATGGTTTTGGCGTGCAGCGCGTCAACCGCTGCACTACCGCAATCGCGCTCACACATATATATACTCGTACATGATCACACTCACTCGCACACATGTACATACCGATGAGGAAACCCTTGGATACCACTGATGTGTCATTTTCGGGTGTCCCAGCATGGTGACTGATGTCCATGGGTCCAGTGTTGCCTCTATACAGTAGAGAACTCCCCTTATCTACAAACCTATCACCTGCGACTCCTGTTATCTGCATGAGTTGTATGGTCCGCAAAAAACTCTTGCTATCCTTGCCTCTATTCCTATTGTCTGGGATTATCCACAAAACGAATTGCACTTAAGTGGAGTCATTTGGCAAATTCATTCATTTATCCACAATTTTTTGCAGTTCAATGGAAACATTTGGGGATAGCACTGCAGATACTCGAATACCCAATCTTAGTCCCCTGCGGCTGCCGTAAGTGTCCCCGCAAGTGGTGATGACGCACGCATGCATGTTGAACTTCTTTTGCACCGTACGCAGCCAACCGTGCGCACACGTGGTGGATTTTGGATGTCAGCCGGGGAGCCCTCCTCCCCACGTCGACACGCGCAGAATGGTGTCGTGCTTTGTTATCGGCCACCCCGCGCCTCCAACGGATCGACCAGTGGGTGGTAACCCCCTCATCTGTCTGAATCGGCAGGCCGAGTCTCTGATGGAGCAGTACGAATCGCGACGTAGGTTCGTGCTCAAGTGGGTGGAGAAGGCGCAAGCTGTGGACGCTGACGACATCGGCGCGCATCAGGTGAATTAATTTGCGTTCGTATTTCATCCACATCCCACGGGTGTGGAGAATGGATCACTGGTATGCAAGGTAAAGACCGATAAATAAATAAATAAAGCTCTAAAATTTACTGTGGAGAAATATAAGCCCGTGTGCTGCCATTGACTAATGGTTAGTTCACTGGTCACCGGTTTATTCGGATCTCTTGGTGCAGCAAGTCAAACAACGATGTATCTCTGCGACCCTTATGCCGTTTATTAGCTTTTGTTTGCTGAGCTTTTGTTAACACCAGATGATGCTGGATGTTTTCGATGGAAATAGTGTCGAATAAAGTTGTAAAAGCTTTGCTTGCTTTTCAACATTTCCATGGTGTCTTGGAACACAATCAATCGGCACATTTGCCCATGACGTGACACATTGATTCGAGAGACTGTCGGGTGGTGTCAGGTTTATAGTTGAAAACTATACCTGCATGATCTAACCCAAAAAGAAACCAATTATGAATCACAACACACGTTGTGAAAGCCTACATATGAAATGTATTAATTTAATCAAATCACCCTAAATATACCAGATCTCATTGAATCTCCACAGCTAAGCAGGTTTGGGCCTAGTTCGAACTTGGATGCAAGCCTGACTGAGAATGTCAGATGTTGTTGGAGTGTTATCATCTCGTTCGTATGTATGCACGATTGGTTTCGTTATGGGTTCTCTGGTTTCCTCCCACGTGCCCAACCACTCATTTGTGGCATTTGACCAAACGTAAAGAATGCTTGTCCCGAATGGGGGAAAAAAAAAGAGATTTATCGAAACTCGGTGATAATTTCCAGGGTAATTTAAAGAGCGTTATTATATTCGTGTTCTCGTTCATTTCATGAAGTGATATTATTTTTTCCTCGCACTTCCCGAAATTTTACGATAAACAACTTCCGCAAAACTTGTCTGGATTCCCTTTCAACCGAGTGAGAACAAAGGGGACGTTTGCATTGAGTCATGTTATTCGGTTAACGATAATGGGCGTTTGCGCTAAATATGTAAGCTTTTTCCTCAAATTATACGTTACCTAACTTAATTAAGTATATTATCGATGGTTGACTACAGCTGTGAAATTTTCCACCGTTCTGCTTGGCCCCCTGATCGTTGACCTGACTGTAAGTACACAATGAGCGATTGTCACTTAGTTTCTGATAAACAGCATTTGTACAATAAATTAAAGACATACTCCTCAAACCTTTAACCCTTCTTTCCTCTATTTCATAAAGACATTTGCAACACCGCTGCAGAAGCTGCCTCGTCCATATGTTCAAATGCACGGGAACTTGTTGAATGCACAGGAAGCGAAACTATTGTCATGAAACTGTTTTTTTTTAGAACTGCTTTTTTGTGTTTAGTTTGTCCTTCCCCTGCACCTCTGATTAGCATGGTCCGCTACATACGGTGAAAAATAATTTCCTCATATACATACATACGTCATTTAGTTCATGAGAACGAGCATTACAACACTAATTAAAAACCATTTTCCGCAATCTTTGCTTTGCTTGGTTGTATAAAATATACGTAAAAAGTAATAATAATGAATAAAAATCATAAAATATGTTTTTATTGCAATTTAAAGCTTTCGTGACTGCAGGGATTCATCTTCTGGGTTCTTTCGGTAAAGTCACGTAGAATGGGACTAAAATAATAATAACAACAGAATAATGTATTTATACTCGAGGAATCCGATGCAGCGATGAAGCTCTTTTTCACAGATGTCCACTATTGCGAACTGCCGCCAAATTTCCCCTCCGATCCATCCGTTACGCTCACCGGTCATCTCGGCAAGAAGCGGCGTTGTTGATGGCGGCTTTGGCGGTGCGGGTCGCTCGACTTGCCGGCCTTCTCGTTCTCAGGCCCTGCTGGAGCAGTCGAGCGAGGTGCTGGCCGGCCTGGAGGCCATGGTGGAGTGCGTGGACGCCCTCTCCGAGGCATGCTCCGTGGAGCGCCTGGTGCAGCAGGTCTCCGAACTGGACCAGCGCACCACGACGCAGCACGGCACGCTGCAGGCTCGTCTGCGTCGCTTGTGCGGGCCCAGCAAGGTGAGCGCCGCTGCACGCCATCGCATCACTGCCGCGGTTCACCAATAAAAATAATAATAATGGAGTTCGATGGTAATACATTGGTACATTTGCTATTCGCGCCGTTCTTATAGCGCAGGACTATGGTGAAGGTTTCATGTTTCGTGGACGGAAAAAGCCTGCCAGTGGCAGGTTGTGGGGGGTGGGGGACGATGTTACTGCGTAATTGCAGTTGAGAAACCTGTGGGTAATTGAGTTCAAATTTGGTCAAATTTGAAACATGATGCCAGCGCACAAATGGGCCTCCTCTTTTCGAGTGAAATAAGATGGGGCCCATCTTTAACATCCTCCATGAACGGACGGCACGGTTTTTTTTTTTAAATACACCAGCGGTTATAACCAGGGTGGCCTGTAGGACTTTGCACAAGCAGCGAACGCGCCACCGCCAGGCCCACGGCCAAAACAAAACCCCCCCTCGATCGACGTGGCATGGGAAAATGCCCTCGTCCAACCAGTCTGAGGATTGACCAAAAGGAGATGTTGATTGAAGCTGCGGATACGTGGGGTAAGGCTCGCGTGCCGACCGGGACCCTTCTTCGTGTCGCACAGGATGAGTTGGCGGCAATGGAGGCAGAATTCCAGCTGCTGGAGTCGCAGCTCTCCTCCCCAGCACTGAACGCCTGTGGACAAGCTCCACAGCTGGCCCTCCGAAGGGTTTGTTCAATTTCCCACTTTTGTCTTCATTTCTTTTTTTAAATACGAAACAATTGATCACCGTGCTTGCTTAAGTTCACAAACGGAAGGCGAAGTTGACTAAGATTTTTTTTTTATTCGCCAGTCACTCCATGAGCAGGAGACACTTCTCAGTTATAATTATTTTCTTTTGTGCGGTTGTCTTGACCCTGACATTATCGCCTGGGTCTTACCCGGTAAAATAAAAAAAAGTTGAGTTTATAAAACATTTAGAATTTTTTTTTTTATAAATTTCAATTATTTATTGAAGTTTTGTTTAGTTCAGTTCTCGGCGAGATTGTTAATGGATTTTGAACACCTACAACAAGCAAGCAGTTGCTTCGCATTCTGGGATTTCGGGTGTGGCCAGGCAAGCACACTAACTCTGAAACGGAGCAACCTTTTATTCACAGTCGGGTGACGGCTCACTTCTGTACATTTCCCCTCTTTTACAATCAAAGCTTGCAAAACATTCTGTAAATGATGTGTCTCTTACTTCCGAGGCAACATTTCGGAATACTGTATATAGGTGTGTGTGTGTGTGTATTTATACATATATTGTTAAGTTTAACACGTACTGCATCTCAACCTTGGTTTGATAGCAAATCGGGTCAAGCTTGCCTAAGATGATAACTAAAGTTATCTATACAACTAACAAAGAAGATAACTAACGTCGTTTCAAGGTCCGGTAACTTCAACCAAAAGTATTTGTTGCGCAATACTGACTTGTGGTTACCTGAAACTTGCATTTAATAAGTGTGCAATAATTCGTGGCTCCAGTTGGCGTGCCTGGTGTGTGAAAAACGTGTCTTGAGCATCCTTCCTTGCCAACGTAACAACGTGCTTATTGACGAATGTGTTGAGAGATGTTTGTTAACAACGTTCCTTGCTGAGTGAATGCAGGTGGGATGCATTGCACCCTAATGAACTCGCCAGGGCTGGATCTGTACAAGCTAGCCTTGGCCACATATTTTCCTACCAAATATTTAGAGTCTTTGGGATCGCTGCCATTCACAGTTGCACAACGATGTTCATGTAAAATTAAATTCCACCCCCCAGTTTCTATTTTTTCCCCGTAATAATAACAACCCAGTTTGAAGGGTTACCCCACGTTTATTAATCTTGTTCGTTATTGTTTCCAAAGTCTTCTGTAAATTTTGACCAACAAGAACAAAGCACTATTATTAACCCAATGAACTACGTTCTTGTATTCCCATCTCTGTAATAGATTAACTCCGCCGATGCCCCCCACACTCATGCCCGTCTCTCCTTCCTCCACCTATCCCCACCACCCCACTCTCCAGCGGCTCTTGGACAAGCTCAGCACTCTGGCAGAACAAGTGGCTCGGCTCCCGAGGGCTGGCACATGTTCCGTTCTCCGAGAAGCGATCGTACATCTGCAAGATGTGACCGAACAGCAATGCGCTGCACTGCAGGTGTGTTGATGAAACCGATAGAGAAATAAAAAATACAAGCTGGCAACCCAGGTCATTGTGACGGAGCCTAACATAAAAAGTAATAGTTATTTTCCTAATTTTATCCCGATGTGCTTTTTTCAACATTATGTTATGAGAAGAAAATCCATTAAAGTCTCTCGCAGAGCAGTGCACCCTCGTGTTAGAGAACGGGTCCACAGAATCGGATATCACAGAGCTACCTCTGAGATACCCTCAAGGTGACCTCTGGTACAACAAGTAGAGGACAGCACCTCCGCACCCACTCCGCATATGAGAGTGATGCTCGTGACATTACAGTAAAACCTACATTTTAATCCTCAGAGCTGGAATTTTCGCCAAATATGCAGAAAAAAATTTGTGTTTGTTTCGTGCGGTCATTGCTGCTGACTGTACACTACACTTGTCGAAGCCTCTATTTTTAAAGCAATTCGATCGTGGTAGGAAATGTGCGCCTTAAAAAAACACGCCAGCGCGCAAATCGACGCATACATTCGGCACGCTAGTGTATACCCAAGCTTGTATGTTCTAACACACCATGTGCTCGTCGCCCAAGCACACAGTGCAATATTATACTTTACTTTCATTAAGTAAATCGTTAACTGCTTCAATTGTAATCTTGCCCCACAAAACTATCCAGATACGGGCACTGATTGTTGGTAAGCGGGGTGGTAAGTTTTGCCGTGATTGGCTTTAGGGAGTTTTGTTTTTAAGAAAATAACAAGTTTCCGTAATCAAACGGACGGACGTAATATTTTCCAGGCGTCGCAGTAGATAGCCTGTTACAGCTGCCTTCAAAGCTATGGCTTAACCAAGCAAGTGCTGAAACTAAAAATAAAGATATACATTTAATGGCGTGGACTTATCCGTGCATGTCGACGATAATGCTTTGTAACGAATTAAAGTTTGGCAAGCAGAGTGGGGGGGGGAGATGCTTTTGCGTAACAAAAATAATAAAGAGTAATGTTGAAATAATAATAGATTATTTACAGGCTTATCTTAGTTTCCATAAGTGTGCACGGTGCATTTTATCCCCTGGCTGTCCCATTTCCACCCTCCACACCACCGCAAGAAAAATGTTTTTACCCCCCTTGAGGCCAGCGTCTTTTCGTTTTAATTTTTTCAGGCTGCGCTGGCCAAGGCTGAGTGGCGTGCAGGTGAAACACGCCGGCTCCAGACGCTCGCCGCCGAGGCCGAGGAGGAGTTGTGGATCCTCGGTGCTTCCAAACACGGCGACGCTCCGCGCGTAGGCGTACGCAAGCTGGTAAAGCCGCGGTTCACTGTTGCCCAACCGTTTTAGCATTTGGCAAAAAAAAAGTTGATCGTGACAGGGACACACAACAATGGCCTACCCCTTTAGAATGATGTCGGTTGGTTATCTTTGAGGTCCACTGGTGAAGCAGACGGCACACAATGGTCGACCGCCATCTGAATCGGGACCAGGCATTGCCGATGCGGCCACCCGATGCACGAATGGAGCATCAAAGATTCGGAGGCCTGCGAGTGCGGCAACGAATCCCAAACGACCCGCATCGCAAACACTCTGCTGATGCCTTCACTCCTTTTAAAGGAGGAATGGACAGACAATTGAGTGGATAACAAATGTAAAATTACTATTAATCCATACGAAAGAAGAAGACCACTGTTCACCGTTACTCGTGTGCACTAATATTTTTTGTTAGCAGTGCCCCGGCCATTGCCGCCACCCAAAGGAAACCCACCTGTCCCTTCACGCTGCCCTCCTCACTCCCTGCGCAGATTCCTCTTCCTGCTACGCCCCCCTCCAAACCCACCTACCGTGCCTTTTCGCGGTTTCTGCCAGCCCAGAGTTCTCACTGTCCTCGCCACTTAGATCTTGTAGCATCCACCACCGTTTGCGATGAGACCGGCCTTTTTAAGTTTTTGCCAGCCGCACTTTCCAAACCTTCTGTGTAGACCTCTCAGCCTGCAGCTAGAATTAGCTGCGTCACTGGAATATTCATTGTCGTGTTGTTTTAGCTGATGGACGGGCTTCATTTAAATTTCCCGAGTTAGCGCTACGATGCGCGGCCGTCGATTTGTAACGTTGCGTGGACACACAGAATATAAATACTTCTGTCATTTATTTGGGGTGGAAGTGGGGGGGGGGGGGGGTGGAGGGGTGGTTGTTTATGTACAAACAACACGCTGTATTATTTTGCGTAGGCACGGCAGGAATGTGGCACCCGTTAAGAAACCGGAGGCTGTTAAAACAAAAAAAACATTTAAGTGGGGAGAGAAAAAAACTCGCCGAAAGAATCGCACCCGTTACTCCCGCCACCCCACCCTTTGCCCCCCCCCCCTTCCCGCTAACAGCCATGCACTACCCTCAACCGCTGTGGCGTTTGCAGCAAAGGGCCCCGAGCGATTGTCGCAGACGCCTTGGCGTTTTTGACCAGTAACGATTTGCTTATTTGGCGAGACGGCCGACGGTAAAGTAAAACGAGTGATATTCTGATGTTAATGCGATGTTAATGTGAGCCCATTGGCTATCAACAAAGATTCGTTCATGAACCCATCCGTATACACGGACACAATTTCAACCGAGAGGATTGGGTACAGACCCGGCAATCGTTGGAAAGACGTCATCAACCAGTTTAAGTCATCACCGGCTGTGACGTTCCCATCCTGCCACCTTCCGATGTTAGTTTTTTTTATTTTTTCTCCGTGGCTTCGGCTCTCCCGTTTCACATTAGAAGGTTGCATTTCTCGCGCCAACGTGGCCACCTCCACGCGCCGACCTCGACGCAGCGATCTCCCATTAACATGCTAATCTCTCACATTAACATCACGAGCCCTGCCCACTTCGTTTATGCCCCTTGGACTATACCCATTTTAAACCTTCAAAACGGTCTGCAGTCAGCAGCTTTCCCCTTCTGTTTTCCTCCTGATGACGATCACTTGTGTTGTGATTAATTTAAAAACCACCTACCCAAAGAATGTGAATTCCTGCAAGTCACGAAAGCTTTCGGTGAAGATTTAAAACGGGTAATGTTGCGGCTGGTCGATTGACGATCCTGCGTTGTGTGTGTTTTATTTTTTGCCGTTTCGAAGCCTCCATTTGCCACGTTGATCTCTCCTCGTTCGAAGGGCGCGCCCGTTGCAGGTCGACGGAGGAACAAAAGTCGGCGCTCTTTTTGTCACTGCGCACGCGAGGCTGTTAAAAGCGAGGTGGCATTTTCCGTTGGCGCGAGTCGCAGAAGCGTCCATTGCAAAGTGCGCCGATGGCCACCGGGAATCTCGTTAGATCTCTGCGAGCCAAGCAGGCTTGGGCCTGGATGGTGTCGAGACGGACAGCCACCATGCGTGGCAGGTTGTTTTCGGCTCCTACCGCGCTGCCGCGTGCCGAGCAGCAGAGGGCAGTGCAACAAAACCCCAATGTTGTTCATCTTCTTTGGTTCTTTCGGTAAAGTCACGTAGAATGAGAATAAAATAATAAATTGATAAAATAAAATAACACAATAATATTCTCTCTTTGTGAGAATATTATTGCGTTATTTTATTTTATCAATTTTACCGAAAGAACCAAAGAAGATGAATCATTGCAGTCACGAAAGCTTTAAATCGAAAATTAAAACCCAATGTTGTTGCTCCCAGCGTTCACCAACCCGGACTAACCAGCCTGGTGAAGTATGTTCAAATAACCCCTGGGTGTGACCCACACGGCATACACAGTGACCCGTGTGACCCTCATCCAGCGGTAGATTGACAAAAAGCTCCGCACGTGTACAGTGCATATCGATAAATTGACAGCATACAGCGGTATAATGATGTAACGCAGTCGTAATAAAATGACACCCCGGAGGCCCGTCAGCATCGCTTAAGTGTTGACATCGCTTGAGCAGTGCGTAAACGACCCACGAACATTATTTTCCCCCTATTTGCAAAGCGTGCGGACTGTGTGTTGGCAGACGGAGGAGATCTCGTGGGACTGAGCAAAGTGATTTTTAAAATGGAGACGCACGGGGAGGTGGGGGAGTTTCACATCGATGCATTGCGCAACCCCCTTTTTTTTTGCAACGCCGCAGATGCTTTAACAACATCGAAGGAATCGTCTTGCGCGGTGCAGTTCTGCGGTTTTTTTTTGTCATATTTGACAACGACCTCTCACCCATCCACCCACGGTCTTTGTTGAAAATGTTAATCTCTATGGTCTTTGTTAATCTTTGAGTGCATGCCAGCATTTAATTCAACAATGCAAACGATTTGACAAACACTTGTAGGCACATTTAAATAAATTAAGTCTTCCATTTGCCTCTGCACATAAGCGTGACATGTTTTAATGTTTTCCAGCTGCATTTTGTTTCGGCAGACAAATGCTGGACAGGTTTCAACCCTCACTTAAGTTGAGGGCCTGAGCTCAATTCCTGGCCACAGCTGGCAGTGGAGAGTGAAATTAGAACTGGTGCTTTGCACACCTAGAGTTGCCACCTTTGTGTTACGTAAAAACCGGGAAATGTCATGGGAAGAAGAGTAATCTCGCGGTGCCATCATCTAGAGTGATGTATTTGTATTATTGCACAATTGACAAAAAAAAACCTGGACTTTTGATGTCCTGGGAAGACTGACCGATTTGCCAGGACAGCAGCTGCCTCTACAAGAGGACGTTCCTGGGGAAAGCAGGACGGGTGGCAACCCTGCACCCCTAACCCCCAACGTCACCAATATATGGTCAATGTGAATTGTTGAAGATATCACTCCACCTGATGTTAGTTGTGGTTTGAATACAACTCAGATGGGCGGTTTCATAGTTACAGCATGCTATCCACTCGTGCCACTGCTGCAGAATGAAGCCATAATAAGATGTTGGATCTTATCGCGTGCATTTTACTTGAAGCTCACAATCACGCAATTATTCTCGCACGTTCCGTTCATTCACACAAATATTGAGTGCAGTTTTTTGTAATGAGGGACTGCGAAGGAGGTGTAAGTATAGTCAATGAAACAAGAGTCAAATGATGCCAAATAATCCCAATTAGTTGGGATCGTTACGCCAATTACAGGTATAGCTATGTTCGTATTGAATGCACGCTGAGAAAAAAATGAAGAGCTCACTTTATGTCGGAGGTGGCTCCAGAAATTACTCCTCACTTTTCATTATCACAGAGGTCTGTCAACTCCGTGCCGCGGATTTGCATTGCTTGCGTTCGCAACTCGCTTCACGCAGTGTTATTTATTTATTTAGTTGTTTGGAATGCTGCATTGTGATCATGGCAATTAAACTCCGCGTCCGAGTCGAGCCAAAGTGCCTTCCCGCTCTAACAAGCAACGGCATGGTGCTCATGGCAGTTTGATAGCTCTGATTTATTTGCCTCTAAAGGATGTATTGCAATTAATTCAATAATTGAAATGTTCAGTTCAAAATGGGCACCGCAATTATTTTTGTTGTGAAATAATAATAATATAGCTTGACAGCATCTTTTTGACATAAATACCATTAAATAAATTAACATTTACAAATATAAATCAACCCTTTGGCAAGCCACTGCTGAACGAAGACCTTCCCCACGCAATGTTGATTGTAGGGGTTGTTTAACAATACTTAACCATCCTGGTAACTGCGGTTTGGTGAAAGGAGAGCCGATAAACCGTTTGAGGTATCACTCGAATCGAAGTCACCGGAGCGTAGTCGCTAACAGCTACGCCACCACTCCACGTTAATTGGCGAGGCTGCGGAGCGGTGAATGAGGGTGGTCGGCGAAGACCCAGCCGTGGTTGGGTCGGCATACGGAGGGTGGTCCTTGGTTACCTTGACGTGCTGTTTAACTCGTCAAAGGATTGCGGACCTGGCCGTAGGCCCTCTGCCTATCACCACGGCCAACACACCCTCACTCTACTGCACGTGCTCCCTGTGGTCGCGTGGATTTGTCTCCGGGTCCTCCAGTTTATCCCTCCCTTATTTAGAAACGTGCGTTTAGAGTATTTGGCTGCTATCAATTTGCATAGGATAAGCCACTTCGTTGAGCTGTCATTTGTGGCCAGGTCTCTTCTCGAAAAGAGCTACATAGCTCAGTGGGCCTTACCTGGTAAAATACAAAAATTATTTCGTTTTTTATATATAATATAGTTTACCTACTTGGTGACTGTTACAACATCCAGATTCCATCTCGTGCAAAACCACGCTGTACCCATGCTTCTGCATGTGTGTGTGTCTCGGATTGATGCAGGCACTGGCTAGGCGAATACGTGGCTACTGGGAGTGCATCGCCGGATTGACGGCCAAGGGCGACCTGGTCAGGAGACGATCCCGGCACCCTGCCACCATGGTGAATGCCTAGCCAGACCGTCTGGGTTATTTGGTGCCTTTCCACGCTCCCGCGGCGCGGCTGAAGAGGAAGGCATACTTTATGAACGTCTGTGGGCTTGGCCATTCGTAGAGGCAATCGAACAATACATTGTAGAGTATTAATACAATGAGTTGACCCTTCATATTTGGAGGTCCGTAGTATGTTTAACAATGCCAGCCAATATGACATGGGTCATTTTTTTTAACTTGCGCAACGAAAAGATTGAACAACAACCGCATAGGTTTTAAAGGTCGCGCTGCAGAGCTCGCCGACGTGTTTTGAGGGTCTTGCCGTGCGATGTTTAAATTTGTTTTCCTCCACTTGCTGGGGAGCTTCAGGAACTGAATGGGCACACGTACGGTGTTTGTTCTTGTCGAACAAACATTGCAGTGCAACAACCCCCTGAAAATACGTCGGAGAGCTAATCAGAAGACTTGTGAGGCATCGCCTCGGATAGGAAGCGGATGATTTAGTCGAAGTGCTCGCTCAATCGGACATTGTTGTGCACTTTAATGGGCAACAAAGCACAGCTGAGTCACATTATAATTTAAAAAAATAACATTGCCGGCCTTCACATCATGACCCCTTTCTGTACCTCTCATTAAGACAGCTGCTTGCTGGAAATCCCTCTCGTGCCAAATGGCGCTCAATCAGCTGGCCCCGGCGCATTTCTGCAAAGCCATAAAAAAAGGAACAAATCGGCGCTAATCAACTTCTGCTGATTCCAATTATATCTTCGGCACATGCAGTTCTGTACATTTTTAAGGACCCAACACCACACACCATGTGTACCGGTGGCCGCTCTCTGATCGGCTGTAACACAAGCTATGCGCCGATGACGAGCGGCCCTGTGCGTGCCGTGTGTGCGCGCGCGCGTGCTATTTTTGCGTGTGCCGTGTGTGTGGGCCCACGCTATTTTTGCGTGTGCCGTGTGTGTGGGCCCATGCTATTTTTGCGTGTGCCGTGTGTGTGGGCCCACGCTATTTTTGCGTGTGCCGTGTGTGTGGGCCCACGCTATTTTTGCGTGTGCCGTGTGTGTGGGCCCGCGCTATTTTTGCGTGTGCCGTGTGTGTGGGTCCGCGCTATTTTTGCGTGTGCCGTGTGTGTGGGTCCACGCTATTTTTGCGTGTGCCGTGTGTGTGGGCCCACGCTATTTTTGCGTGTGCCGTGTGTGTGGGTCCACGCTATTTTTGCGTGTGCCGTGTGTGTGGGCCCACGCTATTTTTGCGTGTGCCGTGTGTGTGGGTCCACGCTATTTTTGCGTGTGCCGTGTGTGTGGGTCCACGCTATTTTTGCGTGTGCCGTGTGTGTGGGCCCGCGCTATTTTTGCGTGTGCCGTGTGTGTGGGCCCACGCTATTTTTGCGTGTGCCGTGTGTGTGGGCCCACGCTATTTTTGCGTGTGCCGTGTGTGTGGGCCCGCGCTATTTTTGCGTGTGCCGTGTGTGTGGGTCCACGCTCGCTCTCCACACACCTGGCACTGGCTCAGCTGCTCCCGGGGGACGAATTTTGATAACGTAGATGAAACTATTTTAATTTTGGCAGGTAAGGCTATATAGCTTTTTTTTTTTCAGAAGCGACCTGGGCACAAAATGATAGTTCAACGGAGTGGCTTACGTGGAAATTTTCAGCAGCGTGTTGATTCTAAATGTGTGAGAGACATGCAAACTCCAAATATACAGGCGTCAGGATCGGGATCGAACCTACGACATCCCATTAAAACCAGGTAGTTGACCTCTTGACACCATGTCTGCCCCAGCACAGAGGTCACAACAGCAGCAGCAGCAGCAAGAACAGTGGGGAACTCCTGTGTCCCATGTGTGCTCACCTGACCTCCCCAGCGGTAATTGTGTGACTTGAAAAGAGAAGGGTTTTTTTGTTTAGTTTTTTTTTTGCTTCTTGCATGCGTAAATATGCTTTGGCGTTTTCTCCCAGTTTTATTCCTGGGGCACTTTTGGAGAGTCACATTACAAGACAAAGTATCTGTTGAGAAAAATCACACAAGAGCACGGGTACTCCCATGCGTCTTCGAATGGCAGAGGAAGAGATTTTCACAGGAATTATTGTGAAACGTCCTTAAAGTGTTTTTTTTTATTATTCTTGCACATGGGGGGGGGGGGGGGTACACTTCCCAACACACAAACCGCTTTCAAATTATCATTTGTCTTATGAAATATTAGGTTTTCCGAGCTGAGGTTTAGCCAAATGGAATGAAAAGCGAACGCTTGTTTTTCCACAATTTTACGAAGATTTGACGTTGCTGTCATGAGATTAATTATTAATTTGAAACGCCCACAACTGCAGTGCAACAGTCTGCGTCGGAGATTAATCAGAGATCTACCCGAGATCCATTTAAGTGACTTCTGTTCAACACAGTAGGGGGCAGCATTTTCCCACCTGGTCTGGTACAGAGAGAGAGAGTAAGGTTCTTCACGTGACATTCACGGCAATGTTTTCATTCTCGAAGCTGGAATTTAGCCAAATTAAGTGCCTCTTGTCGTCGAGGGGCATGAACCATCACCACGCCAACTCCGGTTATCCTCGCAGCGGCTTTTAGATGCTGGCCATCAAACAAAGACGGTCACCGCATCGCACGCTTTCAAATGCGCTTTTGCGGCCGTCTGGAACACTCTTCCTTCCGATATTAGGAATTCACTATAGCTATGCACTTTACATCATCCAGATTAAAAACTAGTTTCTTTAGAAGTGTTTTTTGTGTTTACTTTGTCCCCCCCCCCACCTATGATTAGCATGGTTGGTTAAGTACGGTGCAAAAGAAGTTCAACATACATATGTTTTTGCTTTGTTATTGTTGACTGGGCTCAGCCCATCAACCAAAAATACACTTGAGAATCCAGTTTAATCAAAGGTGGCTGCCCTGAATTCAAACCTAGGATCGGGTCTCAGCGTACCATCTCAACCCTGTGACCTCTGATCCACCCTGCCAATCTCCATGTGATAAACAAAAGGCTTATTTGATGAGATATTTTGTGCGGTCTTTGCTGTTTGGGCTGAAGTCATCAACTTGCTGCTGCACTTGAAATTTCCAATTTATTTCACAATTGGGTAAAAACCCGAATTTGAACAAAGTATCAAAGCAATGAGCCAGCGCTGCTAAATCACACCCATGATTAAATTTGGTCCTTCTATATGAGGTGAATTTATAGTTTCAGCCCGGTTCGGAATGGCAGCACACAACAAAAACAATTGCGTAACAAAAATCACGGAAATTGCCAAAAGTAATTATTTTGCGAACTAAACATTTTTATTTGATTGCCATGCAACAACAAAAGAATGTTCTATAGTCAGGGGTATGGAAAAGTGCAGCTCCGATTTCGGTGGTTGAAAGGTCACTTTGGAGATATTTCACCCATCCAAGGATGGGTGCATTGCAGTAAATTTGAAACTTGCAAGCGAAAAGCAGACAGCGACGTGCTATTCATTGCATCAATTCGTGTGCAGTTTGTAAGGGCGCGGTGACACAGACCTATTTAATTTTAAGGTTATATTCCCTTGTTCATCATGACGTCCTTTTTACTTTGATGTCTCAACAGCGTTAAGGAGATCTCGTGACGTGAGGGTTCTGCCTTTGTAGTGAGGGTTGTGAGTTGGGGGGGAGGGGGAGGAGGTGCCTCGGCCCCCCATGTGGAGTGACGTCAGCCGCTAATTATTATGAATTGGGGGGGGGGGGGGTTGTCCATTTGGAGGACGTCACCTTATCATGATTATTAATGAGGGGGGAGGATGTTCCATGTAAGTGACGTCACCTGCTCATGATTATTAATGAAGGGGGGGGGGTCCATTTGGAGGACGTCACCTTATCATGATTAATAATGAAGGGGGAAGGGTGTTCCATGTGAGTGACGTCACCTGCTCATGATTATTAATGAGGGGGGGGGGGCATGTGAAGGATGTAACCTGTTCATGATTATTAATGAGGGGGGTTGGTCGATGTGGAGTGACGTCACGAGCATTGCACACAGACAGTCTTGGCTCAGTCGGTAATAATAATGGGGAGGGTGTCCATTTGGAGGACGTCACCTGCTGATGAATATTACTGAGGGGTGCTGGTAGATGTGGAGTAACGTCACGAGCTTTAAGGACATTCCTGGGTGATTATCGTAAGTGTATAGTGGCAAAGTGCAAGCAAATTGTGCCTAAACAAATTTAAGTTTCTGCTGATGTCACTCCAATATGGAGTGACATCAGCCGTTCATGATTATTAATGAGGAGGGGTGGGGAGGTGTCCATTTTCAGGACGGCACCTGCTAATGAATATTAATGAAGGGGGCTGATGTTGAGTGACACCATGAGCGTTCAGGACATTCCTGGGTGATTATCGTAGGTATATCACCTTCTATGGGGCGTTCTCGTATATACAGGGTGATACATCAGGTCTGCTCGAGTTCCACTTGGATGCTTTATCTCACGTTACGACACCAATAGCATAATTAAAATAAAATTGGCATTAGAAAAACACCAAAATAGATATTCACACAACTTTCCCTGGGTCTTTGTTTCTTGCCCAGATGTTGTAATGCATCAAACAGGGTCATCACATTCCGCCCTTCCTAGTTAAATGTTTCTTAAAATAAAATTGCAACGTACAACAAGCGCATGGGGTTTAGAACCATTACCTACAATTTCATCAACACTGAAGATATTGCTGCCCTATTGAACTTGCTTGATGCTACTTCTGCTCAGTGCACGTAGATTGTTGTTGGTAAGTTGTTGATAGGTCAGGGAGGTGACATGTCTCATTGGTAGCTCATCTGCCTCTTGTTGCAAGGTTTGCATTCGAAGATAAACTCTTGTTTATTTTACCAAGTGAGGCCCACTGAGCTAGACAGCTCTTTTTCAAAAGCAACCTGGCCACAAATGATAGCTGAATAAAGCGGCGTATCGCGTGGAAATTTCTAGCAGCCAAGAATTATAAATGCATGTTGATTCTAAATGTGGAGAGAAAAACCGGAGGATCCGGAGAAAAACCCACACAACCACAGGAAGAACATGCAAACTCCAAATATACAGGCATCATGGTCTGGATGGAACCCACAGCCTCCTGCGTACCAGGCGAGGTAGTTAGTAACTCACCACCATGGTGCCCCAATTAAAATCCGGCAGGCCTGTCCTCGCGGTCTACTTTGCAGTGGGCCTTAAAGATACCCCGACATCGTTTTAAAGGAGTAGGCCATTGTGTGTCTGTGCCATGATCCAAATGCTAAAAATGACTCCATTGGGATTACACACAGCAGCAGTCATTACTTCCTACTGGCAGACTGATGCCCAATAGCAAGCCAGGTGCTGAGGCACGTTGTGCCCAGAGGGGACAGCTGCCACTGAGACAAGATGCAATGCAAGTCACTTAGAATCCTCAGCGGTAACGGAGGACTCTTTATTGAACGTTAATCACGATCATTCATATGAGGTTACTGGCTTGGAAATTGTGCAATGAGAATTTTGAGATAGATTTACATTTTCGACCCACGTTATAATTTCCTGAACTGCCTGATATTACGGTGGAATGAGCATGTGCAGATGAGAGATTGTATGACGTGCACACGTCCATCCTGCGTTCTGTTGCAGAGGAAATCTGGGCCTCCCCTTACCCTGCCACCACTGGTGGAAGCAGAGGAGGAGTGGGAGAATGGCAACTGTGGGATGGTCCATCCTGCTGGCTGTGGCTCTCCATCGGCAAACGCAGACGATGCATCACTCGATCGGGTATGACAGCTCATGCCGTCAGGAGCACTCCATTCAGTCACTGTCTGAAATGTATATGAAAAATGAAAAAAAAACAGGGTCGGGTACAGTTCTTGAGTCTTACATCAGATGTACGTGGGTGAGTCCCAACTTTTCCGCATTTACTTCCTGACCATTATTGACGTGTGTTCCACCACAGGGGGAAATAAAATTTAATGCAATCAAGATTCCAAACTACTTTGGCAGCAGTGTGTCGGTGTTAGAAGTAGACCGAGATTTAATATATTCAGAGAGTAGTGTGGCCATTTGTTTGTAAAAGAGCCCGGGCAAGCTAATACGACAGCACTCACAACCGTCAAGCACTCATGGGCGAGCCAATACATTTTTGGCGTCTTGTCTTGCAGGACATTGGATTTTTCCAGGCTCTCACACCAGAGGCCCTCCTGGCTGCGGTCGAGCGGATCGTGCAAGAACGTGGAGGGGAAGTGGCCCCCGAGTTGGTCGACGCGAGCCAAGCGGCAGCGGACGTGCCGTCTCCTCCCCCTCTTGCCGCTCCGCCGCCGATACCGAAGGAAAATCGAGGATCGGAAGAGGAGGACTTTGCCAACACGGAAACTCCACCTCTTGATTTTACAGCTGCGGCAGCAGTGGCTGCATCCAACCCGCTGACTGCTCCAATGGTGGAGGCTGACAACGTGGGGGTCCTGCCCGAATTGGCGAACGGCGGAGCCTTAATAATCTCCCGTTGTGTTAAGCAAGCGATTCGTGATAATTCTCCAACTAGGACGGCGCCATCCCCATCGGGTGCCAGGGATCGGCCCACGCAATTTGACGCGCGGCCACCTCCGAAGGCTCTGGCTGATGCGTGCAAGGCCAACTCAGACTTGGAGCCGGCGTTTGCCGACAGCGGCGCCGACGTAGCAACCTCTGTAGAACAGCGAGCAGCATCGAAGGGCACCGGCGTGCGAAGGCAGGCAGAGACGCCCGCGCCGTCCGACATTCTGGACGGCGAACCGAAGCGCGGCGATGCTGGCCTGCGGGATGACGCCGGGGCTGCCGAAACCAATGACGCCAAAGACTTGGGGCCGCACAGGGCTCCCGCTGCTGCTCCCACTGCCGCCGCTGCCGCCGCTGAGGGCAAGTGCACCGCCGAGGCGGAGGGATCGCCGCCGGGCCCCTTAGCCCTGGCAAGGATGTGCGAGGACTTCGAGGGCTGGCTCGCCCGACTCGAGCACCGAGTCTCCGCTCGCGACTCCGTGAGGAGGCTCGAGCTTCCCCAAAGCCGCGACGAGCTCAACACGTTCGTGGTAACTACCGCCACGCGGCCGTGACCCCGGGAGTCGCTTCGCCCCCGCGTCGCAGTTCGCGCTCCCCCAGGGAAATATTTACACGCACGGCACGCCACATCCAGGGTACCTCTCGCTGTTGGCTGTGGATCCTAACCACGTGCCTACGCTCAGCCTAGGAGCGATTAAACAAAAAAAAACTGTTACGTGAATAAGCCTGGCTATATGTGAAGGTAAAAAATGGTTAAGGTGCGCAGCCCTGCAATCACGTGCTCGTGTCACTGCTGGATGAATGGTCTCCACTCGGGAGAGCTGCTGCGGAGGGTATTTGGCCTGCTCTTCCACGCTGGCCAGGAATACTAGAATAAGTGGGGGTTGCTCACAATGTACCCCCCCACTACATGTGACCTGGGGGCACCCATTTTAAAACTGCTGGTTGAACAGAACACTGGGAGGGTATTTAAGAAACGTGCCCCATTGTTTTTAACTGTCACGCTGGCAGATGGAATCGAACTGGTGACCTCTGGACCGCAAGTCCAATGAGCTGACGCAAAATAAACCGGAGGCTGATTAAAATTTAAACGAGAGAGAAAAAATACTGCTGAATGATACGCACCCGCGTTACTCCCCTCAGCCCATACCTCCCCCGCTGGTTCCTGGCTTTGACGGTGCCTGCGCCCCGACTCTCCACCGCCACCCCCTCCCTGTGTGCCAGGCAGTGCAGCACGAGGTGCAGCAGGGGCTGACGCGTCTCGAGGAGCTCAAGGTGCGGCACCGCCAGCTGCTGTGCTCCGGCGACCCGGGCACCGTGGCCATGCAGCGGCCGCGGGTGCAAGCCTGCAACCACCGCTGGGTGGGCCTCAAGAAGGTGGTGGCAACGATCATCAAAACCCTGCGGGTGAGCGGGGCGCCTCCTTTTCCACCGCACGACAGAGCCACGCCGGCGCGGTCCGGCGTGGATCGAGGGAGGCGCGCCCGGTGTTTGGTTTTTTTTCCCCCCCCCACTGTAGAAGCCGAGCCCTGCCGCTGACGTCGCACGCGGTGGAACGGGCCTGTAACATGCGTGGACGATGTGGCGACGCTGCGTGTGCGGGTCGTGCTGATGGACGTTGCGCGGTGAAAGCGTCAAGGCGCTTTTGTAGGTGGTGTGGTGACCCTGTGTCCTCGCGGTTAACTGATGGACGTTGCATGCGATGAATGAGTCGAAATGCATGTAGTTGACAGAGTGACGCTGCGTTTGGTGAGTCATTTCTAAACTGGCGCCACGCTGGGATTCTGGACGGTCGCGCGACACGCTCGTCTCTCCGTGCACTTTTGTAGCGCTCTGTGGCTCAGTGGGAGGAGTTCGAAGGGGCGTGCAAGGACCTCATGGTGTGGCTCACGGAGACGGATCTGCGGCTCACAAACCTCGAGCGCTTTGGCGAGTGCGAAGCGCAGGCCCGGAGCGACCAGCTCAGGGTATGGATCGTTTGTGTATTTTACCGTCTCTGAGCACGGGGACTGAAGGCCCAGCATGTCAAGTTGGGCCTGTGCCAAATAGCGCTTGTGAAGCTGTAATCGGTGAGAGTAAATACGTTTCTGGATTTGAGCAAATTTTTAAAGAACGTGTGGGAGTGAAAATAAATGATGGGGGGGGGGGAATTCTGAAGTGGAGATGCAAAGCGGCCTTTAAAAACAAGTTTACAGAATGTTCTTGATTTGAAGCGTTCGTGACTGCAGGAATCCATGCTCTTTGGTTCTTTCGGTAAAGTCACGTGGGTAGACAAAAGAATAGATCGCGACGTTTCGATCGCAACACAAGCAATCGTCATCAGGTGGGACAACCACAGCAAGAGAAAACTGCTGCAGTAGGCGAGAGATCTGCCGTGGCACGATGTTATATAGTAGGCCTCGGCAGTAGGGGGGGAGAGAGAAGGGGGGGGGGGGAGGAGGCAGGGCAGAAAGTGGACCCCGCAGTAGCACCCGGGTCACTGGAGTAAGTGACCCAGGTGCTACTACCTACGTGACTTTACCGAAAAGAACCAAAGAGTTTGCAGAAGGAGTTTGTCCATAATAAAGTTTTTTTTTTGTTAGATTGCGTAAATATAAATGTCTCGTTAACCCACCACCACCTGACAGCATATTAGTAAGGTTTGTCACGTGCCAAATAAACCCACAGTTGTATATGTTGTGGATTTACTCCCCAACAGCGGTGTGCTGAAGTAGTTACTAATTGGCACGTTTTGTTTACGTGTCAAACCTTACTAATTTGCTGCATCATGTGGTGGTGGATTAATAACATTTATTTTCATGCTCCAACCTAAAAACTTTTATGATGAATAATATTAGTCGCGAAGGCCTACGTGTTGAGCTGAATTTGTTTCATTCATGGTCAATGGACTGGGTTGCCACCTCTGAGATACAAACAAAAGGGACATTGCAGTCAATGTGGAAAGTTGGACCAACGTTTTGCCCGATGCTTTGAAACCACATGCCAACTTTGAACCAAATGTTCATGGCATATCATGGGACGAAGAATATCTCACAACAGAAGAGGGGAGAACTGCATGTAAACAGATTGTCTTGAGTAATGTATTATTATTAGTTACACAACTAACACAAAACAGGACTTTTAATGCCCTGGGAAGACTTAACAGATTTCACAAGATGGCAACTATCTCTAAAAGAAGACCATCCTGGGAAAGCCTGGACAGGTGCCAATCCTGCCGATACATCATCCTCATCGGCTGATGCGTTGCTGCTTAAAGTAGCTCTGGGAGTCTTCAGCCAATGAGTCTTTCAGTTTTCCTCTTCACATTCGTTGAAATGTCCTCGGTGCCTTTACAAGTGTCCAAGCAAAGAGTGAAGTATTGAAATAAAAATATTCTCTGAATCTCACATTTTCTAAAACTGTCCTTCCCAGCATTGCAAAAGGGTTAAACAGTTTGGTATAAAGAGCTTAAAATTTGGCACAATTATTAATTTATTTGTTCGGTGTTTTTTGGGTCACAAAGCACTTGTTTTATTGTCCGATGGGACAATGTCCGACGTTTCACTCCCAAGTGCTGGGAGCCCAAACAACACACGGTGCAACCCTGAAATATGTTTATGTAATTATATACCAAAGAGCTGCAGAGCACAAGCCGCCAAAACCTTCACAGTTATATTTACTTTTTCTTTTCATCACTTTAACATAAGTCCCAGTTGCTCCTATTGCCAAAGCTATATAAATATACTGCTTAGATGAAATCCACTTTACTAGATGTTACGATGTCAGTTAATGGGGGATTATTGGTGTGATAATGGGATTTCGGTTTTGAGTTGCCGACACAAGTAGCGGCTAACGGCGCTGCGTAAGGATTGTGTTTTACGATTCTAAGCTGGTCTTCTGCCTCCTTGGCTAGGCTTCACCTTGTTAAAGAGATTAAAGTGTAATTGGGACTTGCCTATTAAATATAAAAAAGTACAACGGCATAAATAAGAAGTTTCAATGTTAATGAATACTTAAGCTAATTCATGGTAAGAGAGAGAGAGTTGAGTTTTTTTTCTTCAAAGTCCCAATGTTTCTGTGCCCTGAAAATTAATGCTTGGCTTTTAAACCCCCTTGTATTCAATGATTTCCCCCCGCACCCCCACCCACAGGCATTCCAGGAAGAATTGTCGAAGCGGCAGGAGACGCTCAACAGCCTGCGGAAGCAGGCCGAGCGACTTGGGGAGGTGGGACCGGCTGGGCACAGGCTGGAGGAGGCCCTCAAGTACTTCACGGAGACCTCGGTCCGCGTCACCCGATACCTCGGCAGGTCTGCAAACATCTCCATGGTATGGCCAGGAGACAACGGGGGGACCGTGTAAACAAGGGGGCCGCCCCGATAGGTATGGTAGGGTTTTTAACTAGGAACATGAGTGCGGTCTTTATTGAACAAATCCAGCGGTTCATTATGCCTTGGCGTGGAAATTAATTCTAAATTTTTATTATGAATATTGAAACTTTTTTTTTATCAAGACAAAAACTACATAATAGGCGTTTAGCACATCTGGATTAGCTAATTATATGTACTCAATTGACTTTTGTTTCTTTGTTGTTATTCTCTGACAGCCACCAGATTCTGGAGAGGGTGAGGGAAGCCCTCCAGAGACTTCCGGAGCCGCTCATGTGACGGAGCCCAGGACGAGTGGCGAGCCCAATGGACCAGGCTGTCGCCAATCTCAAATTCTCAAACCCGAGCGCAGCTGTCGGCCACATGAGACCCGCGTGAGCCACCACCATCAGCCACCTGCATCGCCACTGGTGGTCATTTCCGGCAGCGTCATTGGCGACACCTCGCTCAGCCCTTTGGGATTTCGGAACTCGCCGGTGCCGGGACATCGTAACCCCAAAGCGGTGACACCGACAGGTGACGTCGCGGGCCGGTGTCGCCATCTCACCTCCACCCCTGTTGAAGACGCGTCACGCAAAACCTCGGAGGAGGCCTCCGGAGAAGAACTACTTTACATGGGACCTGCAGAGCACGACTGTTCAGCAGAATGGCGGCGCGATTACGAGCTGGCATCAAGTCGGGAATCGCTCGCGTCTGATGCGCGGACCGCGTCCGCGAGCGAGGACAGCCAGGAGAGTGGAGCGTCTGCGAGAACTCTCGCCGAGCTGTCATTTGCTCGCGAGTCGCCCTCCAGCCTCGATTGGTCCCTGAGGCCTGTGCACGTCCGTAAAGGGAGCCCGTCGCTCTCCCTAGAGTGGGACAGCTACGACGTGAGGGTGGCGCCTGGCGGAGAGTTGCTGGGAGAAAACTCTTTGGGACTCGCGCCCACCGAAGCAATGCCGTCGCCAGAGAAGGGCGACGCTGTAAATAGCAGAGCGAGCGGCGCATGCGAACAGGCGGAGAAAAAGGCGTGTAGGAATGAAGGCAAACGGATTTGCAGTAAGTATTGTTGAAAAGAGAAAAAAACGCACACACACGGCACCATCGATAGAAACTGTCTTGTTGCCGCAGCTTGTTATCATAGTGGCTGAGCACAGGCCCAAAGGTCCAATACGCCCAGTATTCCAAGTGGCTAGCAACAAACAGTATTTGGAGGTGTAATATGCGAGTCTATAGGTTTCTTCAGTGGTGGGGGGATGGGGGTGGTTACGTAGAAATTGTCTGCACTGTATAATAAGTTTTTTTTCTTAATACGGATAAAATACTGACCAACAGTACAACAAACAATATTATAGATCATGACAGTTAAATGGAGGTCAGGACTTTACACACAAAAACCAGGTTGGAAGGCTATTGATCAAAGATAAAAAAGAGGTAAAGGTGCAGCCCTGAAATTTCTCCATGCCACTGCTGGCTGAAGGGCCCCCACTAGAGGGAGCTCCAGAAAGGCCCCTCTTGAGCAGTTGGCCTACTCTTCTACGCCTCCCAGATTCCATTGGAGTAAGTGTCTTTTACTTTACCCGACTGCACGAGACCTGTCGATCCACTCGCTGTGCTGTACCCATATTTAAACTGCTTGGTGAACGGAGGCGTGGCCAATTAATGCGATTGCCCTTCGTTTCAATTGCCGTGCTGGAAGATCAAATTGAAGCGGCGACCACCGGATTAAAAGTCCAGCGTGAAAGCCATTACACCCTGGCAGAGTCCCCGTAATATCGCTAGAAGGAAGAGCAGTTGCATGGTTTTAAGTTAAATTTATTTGAAATGCAGATTTAAATTTGATTGAATCTTCTGTAGTTCACAGTGTGGGATCACTGTAGAATTACACGATAAAGTGCTTGAGCATTTGTGCCGAGAATCAAGAAAGTGCTTTGCTTTTCTTGTTGTTTTTTGGTCGGTGCTGTCCATGATTGTGGAGCGCAAACACACAGCAGTGATAAGAGGGTTCCAGGCCACTGGCTCAAAGGAGTCCACAACAGTTATTTTTATTTTACTTACCCAGTATAGCCCGAGCCTCAAGACTTTTTTCAGAAGGGTTCTGCCAAGTTTTGCGTGGTCGGGGGGCAATGTTGCTGTGCGTAATCACCACTTGAATCCTATGCCGTTAAACGTTTAAGCATTGGGGATTATTGGCCAATATCAGTTACATTGTATGTTTCTTTTCGACGATGGGAGGAAATAGGAAAAAAATCTTGAGGAAATCCTATGCAGAACTGAGGGAGAAACGTACAAATATCCACCCAGCAAGGCACCCGAATCCAGTCCCATTCATGCTGAGGTCACAAGCGTCATCACTGTGCCACCCTGCAGCCCATTGGTGTGCCTGTGCATTACCGTCGTCAATATTAATGGCGATGTTTGCTGCGGTGGTGATTACTTTTTTTGGAGGGCAGCCAAGATTGCTTTTGGAAAGTAAAGAAATAAAATCGCAATACAGTATCGGTTTCTCTTAGCAATATAAAAAAATGTCGAAGTTTAACCTTGGCTGCCAAAGAAAATGGCACACTAGGATGCATGCATCAAGTTGGAGCTCGGTGAATTGGCTCAAGTCATGGGAAAGCCACAAATTCCACGTACGCATCTGCATCGTTACTCGTAAAAAATAACTAAATTAATATCAATGAATTCGTCTCTCCGCAGAAACGTAGATATTCGTTTAGCTCACCAGCCTGTGGCGATTTCCAAACCAATATTATCCAGTGTGCATCATCATTACGGCACCCCAATTGACACCGGTAAAGCATCCATTCGGAAACCACCGTGACTCAGGGAATGGCCGCCCTCTCCCGTGAGGTGGTTTGACGCATGGCCGTCATCCCGCTACGCTTTAATGTGGAAGATAACACGATATGTAGTTCACGAACGATAGTCGTTATATACAACCGTAATGCACAATAGACGAGAGATAAACTTAGTTGAGAGATTTGAAGGAATGGCAGCTACACGAGGGAACGCATCAGAGGACACCCATTGCGGAGATGGAGCCGAGATCGGGTAGCGTGCAGGAGCAAGGTGGATTGTGGCATCTCGGGGACAATGAGTAGTTGTTGGAGGCGTCAACGCAGCAGTGGATAGCTCATGACTCATGCCGATTATGACGAAAGTGACAACTGAATTCGAACCAACCTGTACTTGAGTCCAAATGTTTCCATGATCTAAGCGATCATAAGGGCAGCACAGCAAAAACAATGAACAGAAATGAATGTATAGCCAAACAAAAATATAGTCACCGTTGGCCGAAATAAAATATATACGTACAAAACACTTTGCGTCACTAATTTCACGAACAAAACCTTGCACTGGACACCCGTTACAACCTCGAGGTTGTATGGTACAGGTACATGTGCAGCCCTGCAATTGCTTGCTCGTGTGACTGTTTGGCAGAAGGACCTCCAATATCGGGAGCGGAATAGCCCATCTTATTAGAGGGTATTTCGATCTAATCTCCCACGCTGGCCGCGCGTCTTGGAAGACAATCGTTCCAAGTGGCTGGCCCACTTTCGGCCTGGCGGTCACAGCTGGCGCTGACGGCCACCGTCGCCGTTGCATTTTCAGAAAGTACCGTCGGAGACGTCGGTGTCTGGATGGACGGCGCAGAGGCAACCAGTCACGAAAACCATCTGTTCCTGCGGAAGAAGGAGTCCACCCACATCTCCCAGGTTTGTATCATCGCGCCTCCTACAACGCGGACCGCGGTCACGTGCCACGGTGCGACGGTCGGTGCACTGGACGCTGCGGGACCAGAAGGTCGCCGGTTCGATTCGATCTCGCGGCACATTTATAACATTCGTCCCCACCTCTGTCTGCTCGGCAGAATAAATGGGTGCACCGCAGTTGGTCGATCGGCAGGTCACGCATAACGCACGGGTACTCGCACCCCTTCCAAGACATTTCACCAGTGTGAATAGTAGTGGAAGATTAGTGTGGAAGAGTAGGCCCAAGTGTAGCGAGTCCAACTGAGTCGCAGACATTATCTTGGGAGCAACACTATTTATTATACAACAGCACGCAACATAACACAATCTACACTCGGGTCTCCAATGCCCTTCTAACCACGCCACGGCAGAACTAGACACGGTTCGCTATCCCGGTCCGGACCACAAGCTGGGTCCCGGACCGCGTGGCTAGAGGCTTCTTCTCCCCGACGTGGATCTTCGTAACACCAGCACACGAAGGACCTCGAGCTCCTCACGGGGCCCTCGTGATATGCCCCCCGGGCTGGGGCTGGCTCCGTCCTTCGCCCCGCCCACCTTCCAGATCTCTCGAGCTCTTTCTCGAAGTTTCCCGTGAGCTCTTTTGGACCACGTAACCGCCCCGTGGCCCCCGTCCACCGGTGGCCCCCCCTCCAATATCATCCGATCACGTGTCAGCAGGTCATCCAGTGTATCATGCCCCAACGTAACCCTGGCTGGGTGACGCTCCCTCAGCGGCAGCCCGCACCGCACGCTGCTCGCGGTGCCTCCGCGCTAACCAGCGCTCACCCAAGCCCCGCTGGGGCTGGTGGTACTACACCCCGTAACCCGGGCTGCCCATAATGACAACGCATTATCCGCCGTGGCTTCTTAAGCCCCCGGCACCATACAGTGACAACCACAGTCACTACCCAAGTACCCTTTTTGGGGGGGTGGGGCGGCGGGCACTCTCTCTCGAGCTCCCTACAGTGGGGAGGCCCTCCCGCCAGCAGAGGCGCAAGCCGGCAATTGCAGGGGCTGCGCTTTTGGATTTTGAACCAATGTCTGAAGCACGACACCTCCGTCGGCAAGGACAGTCGGAATTTACTTTGTCCCTTTTGGGCTGCCACTCTCCACCTCGTTTGTATTCCTGTTAACCCTATCGCTTACAGAGTGCCAGGACACGGTTTGATAATTAATTCACCTCCATGGTCGCTGCACACTTTGTGTTGCCCATAGCATGTGCAACCAGCGCTTTCAATGGTATTACACACCTAAGACCACAGATTAATTATTTTTCGTATTTTTTTTCCACCCCCTCCCGTGACATTAAAATAATTGGCCGTGGATGTAAACCCATCCTTAATTTTTTTAATACAGATTTGTTCATGGTTGGGTTTTTTCCGTGCAATATGCCACTGCATATTGATAGCGTTTCATAACAAAATCCCCTTGTGCAATTGGATGATTCTCAAGCAACATTATTCTCATCAAGTGACGGAAAAAATAATTAACTTGGTAACACGTACACACTCACATTTATTCGGCTGCATCATTTAGTAACAGGACACTTCATTGATATTCACGACTGCCACGCTCTTGTAAATGCAGGAATGTTGCGGGATCTTTAATATCCACAAAACCGCGGATGCTCCGCTTTGGTGATTACCCGCAGGGGTGTGTGGAAACTGACAAATTATTGGGTACAACGTATGCAATGGAAAAGGCCATCTCCGATTTAAAGCTCGTGTTTGCGGTGTTCAAGCGCAGAACTGTGCCTTGTGCTTTCTGAACCTGATCTGCGAGCTGCATGAGTTGAGCTTTGAGAAGAAGTATCTTCCTTTTGGTAAGGAACTTTGTGTTGGCCAGTCTCGTGTAAAGCTCATGAGAAAATGTTGATAATTAATGAGTATTGTGTTCTCGCAAGCAAAACGAGGCTCTGTCTGTGTTGCTGCGCTCGCAGAAAAAACACACTGCCCTATTAAAAAATATATATTAATAATTCTTAACGACTTGCGGTTAACATGTTTTAAATATAAGTGACAATTCGAGGACCACCATGTTGGTGTTCGCGCTCAAGCAGGTAATTCACGTGATTTTTCTTTTAATAACGACAGGCCGGGATGGGGACAGGGTGGGATGGGGGAAATACACAACTCGCGTAACGCCACTGACTGCAATTTTACACCGAAAGCTCCTCACTGCTGCGACTGCACAAACAGTGGTGTGGTCACCCCTTGGGGTTCCAGGATATACATTATATTTGGGGGGAGTGGGGCTTTCAATTTATGAAAACCTAGTAAGAGAACAGCTTCGAGATGAGAGATGTATAGAAGTAGTGAGATAAAGGGAATGTAGATGAAAATGGAAGCGCCGTGAGGTGAGTGGGAAGACAACGAGATAAGTACACGAAGCAATTTGGACAACTGAATGCAACTAGGTTAATCTACAGTGAGGGGAAAAAAGTATTTGATCCCCTGCTGATTTTGTACGTTTGCCCACTGACAAAGAAATGATCAGTCTATAATTTTAATGGTAGGTTTATTTGAACAGTGAGAGACAGAATAACAACAAAAAAATCCAGAAAAACGCATGTCAAAAATGTTATAAATTGATTTGCATTTTATTGAGGGAAATAAGTATTTGACCCCTCTGCAAAACATGACTTAGTACTTGGTGGCAAAACCCTTGTTGGCAATCAGAGGTCAGACGTTTCTTGTAGTTGGCCACCAGGTTTGCACACATCTCAGGAGGGATTTTGTCCCACTCCTCTTTGCAGATCTTCTCCAAATCATTAAGGTTTCGAGGCTGACGTTTGGCAACTCGAACCTTCAGCTCCCTCCACAGATTTTCTATGGGATTAAGGTCTGGAGACTGGCTAGGCCACTCCAGGACCTTAATGTGCTTCTTCTTGAGCCACTCCTTTGTTGCCTTGGCCGTGTGTTTTGGGTCATTGTCATGCTGTAATACCCATCCACGACCAATTTTCAATGCCCTGGCTGAGGAAAGGAGGTTCTCACCAAAGATTTGACGGTACATGGCCCCGTCCATCGTCCCTTTGATGCGGTGAAGTTGTCCTGTCCCCTTAGCAGAAAAACACCCCCAAAGCATAATGTTTCCACCTCCATGTTTGACGGTGGGGATGGTGAACTTTGCGCGCTGTCCGGGGCTCGCGTTGCCCGTTAGCGACACGAAATGTTTTCCCCCTCCAGGAGCGATGAAGTGCGTATGTGTGCGTATGTTGAACTTCTTTTGCACCGTACGTAGCCCACCACATTAATTGGTTGGTGCAGGAATGAACGTGGGTGCGAGGACCGATTTTATTTAGAAATCGTGGCTGATTTTATGCCAATTATTTTGCCGAATCTTGCCCATAGGCTAATGGAGCGGGATCCAACTTCTACATGCGAGGTGAGGGGACAAAAAAGTCACGAAACAAGACGAATGAGTTCGTTAAGGAATCGATTTCGTTCTTGGATCGTTAAATGTGTCGTTGCGTCACCGCCGTTTGACATTCAAAGGGGGGGCTCGCCAGCCTTGATCGGGTTGACTGGCACGCAGTCCACGTCGTTGAGCAGCTCGCTTCGTTGTAACAAGCCACGGCGAATTGGGGCCCCTCTGCAGAAGACAGGGACGAGGGGGGGGCGTCAGCACTACACGCGGAGCGTGGTCGCACTTAGCGCTGTCGCTCAGCGCTCACCGAGCCCCCTCCAGGGCTGGTACGACACCCACATTATCGGGGTGTCCGCGATGGCAGCACATCGCACACCGTGCCTCGCTAGAGCCGGCATTACCCAGACATCCACGATATCGCTACACACGTGATGTCCGTGATGTGAGTACATCGCATGCCGTGTCTCTCTAGGGCCGGCACCACTCGATGACATCCGAGATGTCACTACAAAATTATTTAGTATTTTAGATCGAATCGCGACCCTCAATCTTGATACGAATCATAGAATTTCCAGAGCAGTGGCTCGTTCCAACCTGCTATGCGAGTGTAAGCACTGGACTATTGTCAGGTTAAAAATAAAAAAAATATGTTATTTATTGAGTGTCAAGACATGTAAAATAAGCAAACGCAATACGTTAGATCGATAATTATGGGAGCTAGAACTATTAAGAGTGGAAACAATTCGAGCCGCGACGGTTCGTCGACCCAAGTCGATCACTTGACGATAAGTCGACGACTTTTTTTGTGTGGCCGCTCCCTCAGGCCTCCGACAAAATCACGGCCACACTTAACTGCCTGCCCTCCTGAAGGCAGGAAACATCCCCTTCAAGCAATGCCCAAAAACGGTTGAGAATGTAAGAGCGGTTACAAATGAGAAGGGAAGAGGGGGTGGGGGGGGGGGGGGGCATTTGGTTCATCCAGCTCCGCTCGATTTGTTCGTAGCAGAAATGATTCCAGAACCTATCGAAGTTCCTTGAAGAGTCCCAGCGAGTCTGCATCCTGGCCTCTGGTGCTGACCTATCCCACTCGCAGCTACCCCACCGTGGCGTCTGCTTCCATTTCTCTGTGTTGAGCTCGATGTAGTCGGTCCGGATTTGACACTGTCGATGTTAATTCCTGATTTTGTGGGCCCCGGATTAAGTCCCCGCGGATTTTGCTCCGCGCAAGATGCAATGCCGATGCCATCACCGAGCCTAGATTAATCGTTCCTGTCCTGCAGGACACATGGGAAGAGCGGTTGTCTCCGTGTTGTCCTCTTAGCCCAGTAATCGAGCCGACAATCGACTTAAATAACTGGAGAACACCGATACCGAATTAATACCCAAGATGCAACATGACCCTCAACTGTCAAACTATAGTGCGGTGCTCGGCCGATCTTCCTTTCTGCGTCGTCGCCGTGTGCAGCGCGATTCTGTGGTGACGTTAATGCTGTCACTAAAGCGTTATCGCCAGCCACGATCACAGGAGTGCTGCTGGGCGCCTGGAGCCTCCGTAGGAGGCTCGAGGGACACGTGATGGGGAACCGAGAGCTCCCGACATGATACAGAAGGGTGCGTGGCCCGAGGGCGGGGCGAGGCCGCGGCCGGGGGGATAAAGGGGAAGCCCCGGGACAGTGTTCGGGGCTCGTCTGTGGAATCATCCTGGGGTCCCGCGTCTCGTCGTCTCCGGGGCTTCGGGCTTCGCTCGGCATCGTGGGTCGGGCAGCGTATTAGGCCGACTGACCCGTTTATTGTAGTTAACTCGCTATTCACATAGTTAACAGTGTAGCTACACCTAACTTATAGAACCAGTATACGTTAGAAAGTTGTTAATAAAAGTGTTGCCTGCAACTCCAGAGTGTACACCACTACACTTCTATACCACAGAAGATCTGATGTCTCACAAGCCAGAGTCGTTTCATTTGTCTGGCCTGCCTGACATGTAAATAATGGGATTCACAGTCTACCAATTCAGACGATAATGGATGAACACAGAACAAAACGAGTTGTTTTTTTTGCGAAAAAATATGACTTATTATCAGCTATGGCTTACGGTTACTTTAATGTTTTTTTTATGTTTTCTTTATACAGTACTCCAAAGCTGCAATGACTATTAAACCAAATCTCATTTACCAAATAAGAACAAAATAAAACAATTTGCACGTTAAATTGCCACGGTCAAACGACCACTTGACGTTCATAAAAAAAGTTTTATAAAGCGTCCTTTCCATCCACAACCTTCGAGAGCTCGTTTTCAAGTGACTATGGTTGGGTAATGGAGACTTGTGTAGGTGCCAAGCCTAACCAACATAACCCCCCCCCCTCCCCCAGCCAGTGGGCACCCCACAATGTAAGACCCACAATGAATGGCGCTTTTATAGTACCAGTCAGACTGGTCAGTTGGCCACGTGAGCCGAGAATAAATTTCCTCGAGCGTCGTACGGCCATATGCGGCATGTAGTCGTTGATCGCAAGCCCCTCGTAAAGAGAAAAAAAAGTCCACTCTCACTGAAGACTTCAGTTTGAGCGAGCACCTCCATAAAATCTGACTCTCACTTGAAGAGAGCTGGCGAAACTCTCGTCCCCTATCCGCACGCAACTCAACTCTGCAGGACCTCGTATCCCACATCTGCGCAGCACCTCCCGCATCTGCCATTCCTTTTACCCCAGCTGCTGCTGACACCTTCGTCTGCGCCTTCATCACGTGCCCCGCTCGATGATTGCGCAACTCCTCTCTCCTCCTGCACTGCCTCCCAAAATTTATCGCCGCCGGATTCCACGTGATCCAGAGAGAATCCTGCTGCCAAGACTCCACAACCGCAATTCAGACCACATGAATGAACCCGATGCTCCCCCCCCCCCCCCCCCCCCCCCCCCCGTTCAACCATCGCTCGGTGGGAGGTTGCACCCAGTGCCTGGAACTCCTTTCCCCCATTCACCCATGCTGGTGGTCCCCTGTCCCCCATTCAAGTCCAGGTTCGAGGCCCTTCCTTTCGTTGCTCTGCGTATGATCGAACGGACTGCCTCTTTCTACAAAATAAATACAACCCTCTGTTTCTGTCTAGAGCCTTGGGATGCGGGCCCTGTTTAGACGCTGCTGTATGAAGCCACATCATATTGTGACTGTGGAGGGGAGAGTTGGTTAACTAGCAAAAGCCATTTAACGAAACGTACAACTAGCGGCCCCCACAAAACCATGACAGCTCGGGAGGGCCCCTCAATCAAAACTTGAATCCGTCCCTGGGCTTGGCCACGGCTTCATCTACCAGCAACGTTGGCCAATGTTGTCGGGGGGGGGGGGGGGGGGGTTAGTGGGGTTTGGGGCGCTGCGCTTGCCGTGGCTGCACAGACCGGCCGGGGCGTGCCAAATCCTCCTCGCGAGCCCCTCCATCTCGCGGCCAGAGAATCGCACGACCTCTGGTGTAGCATTTCCAAGGGCACAGCCGCCGACCGAGGTGCCAACTCTTGTTTTGCTCGCGCACGACCGACGTCAGCGGCCCGGGCTGAGGGGGCGGCCATGGAAACAGCGGTGTGAAGTTCACTGGCGGGATGGTCCGGAATGGGGGGGGGGGGGGCGCCACTCGCGACGGTGCGAACGTCAGCCTCTCGTCCAGGCTGCATTTTGTGGGGGGGGGGGTGGGGAGGAGGGGAGGGTACTTCATTGTGAGGCACAGACTGCTAATCCGTCTGGTTCACGTACGGGGGCTTTGTTTTCGTCGGGCATGCAAAACGCAAAACGCATCGCGCGAGACGCAAAGCAAAGAATGCGCGCCCGCGAACGACGGCCTCGTCCGCTCGACTTGTCGCGCCGCTGCCGCGGGCGATGGCGAGGGGCCAAGTTGGTGGCCGCTTGTTGTCACCGAGGCAGGCGGCACGCGGGAGGTGTGCGCGAGGGACCCCCCCCCCCCCCCCCCCCGCGGCTCCTGAGAAATAAAAATCGAGAAAACGTGACCGTCGCGAGAAATGAACAACGCCGTTTTTGGGGTCGCGACCACTGCGTCGGTCGTGCACGTTGCTCCGACGTTTTGCTCCCACCCCCGCTGCCCTGGGAGCTTCCGCGGAGGATTCAAACTGGAGAAACAAATCGGTGAACAACGTGGCGTCAATCAAACTGGAGTTCTGTAAGGGACATCAGTTTAGAACCTAACTGTTTCCGGTACATGGAGCCGAAACGTCGGACGTCGTGCTGAATGGCATGACCCGAAACGCGTCGGAGAGGGACATGGCCGGTGCGGTCGTTGTTGTTTTGTTGCAACTCATTGCCTGGCTCGTGAAGTGAAGGGGCTGTCTGCATCAGTGCAGTTAAACAGCGACGCTGGGGGAGTGTTTACTTTGCCGTTAGGGCTAACGGAATCCTACAGCTTAATGGAATTGCATCGTTTAAGTAGGCGGGTGCATAGATCCTTGTTTCTCTCCGCACTTTTAGTCGATCGAAAGCACTGATTCTCACAATAAGAGAGAATGCAAGTTATAAACCTCAACGTGCGGACAATCTCTATAGAAGGAGCACACTTCGACTCTTGCTCAATTCCATTTTCGGTTACTGGTGTTTCCATTTTTAAGACAAATTTAACTAAAGGGATCGTTTTACCTGAAAAAGTAATGATTCAACACACGTTGACATTGGATGGTATAAATAGTATGACGTTAAGCTCATTTCCACTGGGGGATGGGGGGGGTGCAGTGGTTAGAGCACTGGGCGATGAACCCATTGACCTGAGTTCAATCCTGGCCATGGCAAAACATCAGTAACGTATTGGGCCAAACGATATAATCATCATTCATCATCATCACCAGCCATGGTCAATCCACTGCTGGATGAAGGTCTCCACCAAACCTCCACCACCACCACTCACAATGTTGTGATGCGAACCGTCCATCTGGCACACGAACCGATTTCATTGCTCCATCTCCCCGGTGGATGTTCTCGTGCACGTTCAATTCATAGTCTGCCAGTCCATTGTTATTATTATTATTATCATCGACCATCAGCAAGCATGTTAAATTATAGTCGAACAAATGACCGCCACAGTGTGGAGAGGGCACTCATTCAGCAGTGTGTTGACACAGGGCTCTGATTATTCTTTTTACTATTAAAAATTAGATGGGGTGGGGGGGGAAGTAATTTTTTGTGCGTGTGTGATTTTTATTTATTTATCCCCATTCAAAAGTAGATGCATTTGTGTTGTGTGTGTGTGTAGAGCCTTTGGAGCCACGTTCATTCGATTTGAAATTTGTTTTGCAGCTCCAGGAGCAAGGAGCAGACGCCTCATGCTCACCGAGCGAACCCTCCTTCGAGCGGACTGAGTAAGTCCTGCGCAGTTGCCTGCTTACTCATTGCATTGTTTATTATTGTTACCATTACACTTGTTTTACCCGGGAAAGCATCACCGAGTCTCAAGCCTCATCTTATATTTTTTTTTTCCCAGAGGCTCCCGCAAAGCTTTCGCAGTATAGGGGGGTGGGGTCAACGTTGCTTCGTTTAAACCCCGATTGGATTAACGTGCAGGTAAGTTTTCGGCATTGGGATGTTTATTGGCCCAATATCAGTTCCATTGTTACGGTATATTTTAGCTCTGGGAGAGAACCTGGAGAACCCAGAGGATATCCATGCAGAACAGGGAGACAACAGGCACCCCCCCCCCCCAACACACACAGAAAGCAGCGCGGGTCGGGAATTGAAGCCGCTGGGCTCTTATTGTTGTGAGCCGCGAGCGTTGCCTCTGTGCCACCCTGCCACCCTGAATACGTGTACAGCTGTCTGCAGAGGGGGGTCATAGAAATGTCTCGGGGGTGGCGATTACCAGGTGGCTTTTGTGGGGGGGGGGGGGGCTGTCCTGAAATATTAAACGTATTTTCTCTGCACAATATCAATTTCGAGGGACTCTCTAGTGCACTTTTGGGTTAAACCGCGTGTTGCTCTTTATGTTGTCTGATGTGTCACTGGACTCTAGTACAGTACAACAATGAATTGTGCTGCACTGCCCTCAGACTGCCTACGATGTAACCCCGTGGCAGCCTCCAACAACGTTTGGGATAAATTTGAAATGTACTCCCACATTAGCGTAAAGGATTAAAAAAAAACTAAAATACTTCCGCCACCCCCCCCCCCCCCCACCGTGAATCTACGGCAGACTCTCCCCCGTCTGAGTCGTGCCACCTTCGCTGAGCCTCGCGCTCTAAAACGAGCCCGCGCCCTAACGTGTGCTAATCGTGGTGGTCGCCCATCCAAGAACTATCCAGGCTGAACCCCAGTAAACACGCAACGTTGAACCAACGTTAGGGGGGGTGGGACCCTTGGTTGGCTTCTGAGATCTAACGAAATTGGGCGCAGTCCGGGCGAGTTGGTAATGGGGGCGGGGGGGGGGGCGGCCCTTTCGTTGTGAATCTAAATAACTCTCAACACCTTTTATGGGCACCCTGTGCAAATGAAATTAAAAAAAAATAATTGCTGAACTGCCCTCCACCGCCCTTTTGCTGATTTATTTAATTCTAACTGTACGACACGTTACAGTACTCGACTTGTTATCGTGTGAGTTTACTCTCAAACACACCGGTGTGTTGAAGTAGTCGCGAATTGCCACGTTTTGTTTACTTTACCCGGAAAAAAAATATAAGATAAACCTTCTTAATGAAAACCCGCTGGCTTTTTAATATCGTCCTAAACGCACGCGCCCATCTGCCAGGCTCCATGACGACGATGACGGCGGCGGTGGCGGCGACGTCAACCTGGCCCACCTGCTGGAGAGGGGCGAGGGCCCGTGGCTGGGCCCGCGCAGGCCCTCGCCGTGCGCCGCCATCTGGTGGAGGGCTCGCTCGCCCCCGTGGCGCTGGAGGGCGTCTGGGTGGCGCTGCCCCTGGGCGGACATTTGCCGCGCTCTGTGGGCACTGCGGTCTCTGCCCCGGCTGCTCGTGGTGATGCTCGCGGCCGCTGGGTTCCTGCTGTGGGCAGGATGCATCTCGATTGGCGGAGTGCCCCGCTTGCCGCCCTCCTAGGATGGCCACGTCCTGATGCCGCAATATATACAAATTTTAAATAAAAAAAACCCACCAGGACGCGTGATGGAAAGATGAAGCGGAAGCAAAAAGATATTGCGGAAAAACAGTAGAGGAGAGGTCCTCGCCTGTCAATGCAAGTGATTAAAATACAACCTGGACATTTTTTGGGACATCATGGTGAAGAAGTAGATCTTAAAATATATGGAAGAAGGTATAACTGCACGTGAATGCATTGTCTGACAAAAAACTGGACTTTTGCTGTCCTTCCTGGAAGACTGGCAGATTTACAAGGACAGCAGCTACATCCTCGTCAAGAGGATGATCTTGGGAAAACCAGGACACGGATGGAATCTCCCCCCCCACCCATCCTGAAATGGTGATGCGCAGGGGACTCGACGAATAAGATTTCTCAGGGCGCAGAGAGCCGAACTACTATACTCGTAGCCTCGTTGGAAAACATTGAAGGCAGAAGGGGCAAGAGGAAGTGGCGGTGGAATGACCCAGCTCACGAGAGGTTACGCCGACCGAGGGGAAGCGTTGGCACATCGCTGCCCCGTCACCCTCCCAGCAACGATGGGCGGACGGGCGGACGGACGGACACAGTGCAGCTGACCTACCTGCCTTTGTGAAATCTTTTTTACACGTATTTCTAATGTAATTAAAAGTAACATTCGTTTTGCGTTTTAATTCACCGTGGCGGTTATTTAAGGGGATACTAAAATAACATTGCACCCGTGCTCGCACAGGCGTGGTGTGAAACGTGCTGTGAATAGGCCCGCCGCGTGCCGTTGAGACCCCCAACGCGGCAATTCCGTTGCGCTGCCCTCCCCCATCAGGTTAAGGTGCAGCCCCCGCAAGTGCTTTCTTAAACCATCACCGCTGCCTCGGAGAGCCCCTCTCCCGTGCGGAGGACCTTGCCATCGGCGGTGAGAGCGCGCAATTGCCGGGCTGCTAGAGAAAGACGCTCTCGGGAGGGTATTTGACCAAATCTTCCGCCACTGGGCAGCCATTTTTTTCTGTTTAACAAATAAACATTCATTTCACTTTTTTAAATGGGTGGGAGTCCCCAGGCGTTACCCCCCCCCTCCCCACGCGTGACCTACCGATCGACCTGCGATGACTTCTGTATTGCAAGTCCAGTGTGCCGTCCAGGTCATCGCTTTTGAGCGTCCCACTTGGGTAGAAGAGAGAAAAATGTTGCGTGCATTTTGCTCGTCGACAGCACACTGTGCCCATTAGCATCAGACCACAGCCGAGTGCAACAACACACTCTATCTAGGGTCGACTTGTACCTTAGGGGATTAAAGTCTGGACACAGGATCCCACTCGGCAATCAAAAGCCTTGCCATGCCCATTTGTTTTACTGGCTTAACACAAATACAGTATACGGTGTGCGTGTGTGAGGTAAACATCAAGAGTGACAGGCACATTTTAACCCATTTTTTAAAATCAATTTATAACTTTTATTTTGCAAATGAGCTGAGGCAAAAAACAGCTCCTTGAAAATGAATGAATGTGAGGCTGTTTCTGCATCGTTGATGAGTGCTCTTGCGTGCTGAAAAACAACAACAACCACGGTATGTCTTCTCCGACGTCTTGAGAATAGTGCCCTCGTGCACCACTCTGACGGAGGATGTTCCCTGGAAGATCATATGCCAGCAAAACTCCGTTTAGGTGTCTTCACATTAAACTATATCTTTTTTTTACTTGTGCGTCATCGGGGTTGTTTTTCCAGATCAATATTGTCCAGCAAGAAAATTGTTTGAAGAAACAATCTCTAGGCCGGTCTAACGTGTCGGGGTTTAATCGGCATTTGCTGCTTGGTTACCAGACGTAATTGGCAAGAGCACTCCATCTAACCTATGGTGGTCTGTTCAATACAAAAAAACGCACGCTTGTGTGTGTGTGTACTTATCAAGTCCGTTCACTGAAACCCCATTAGTTGGGCCTTTATCCACAAGAGGCACACGTTTTATTCTACCCTGTAATTTTTAGTGATTGTTATAATGTCCAAAAGAAATAGTTGCAAATATCAATGCTGGAATTTAGCCAAGTTAAATTTTAAAAATGTATGTAATGCAGCACGGGGTGGTTTTTTTTATCCCATACGCTCGTGACCTAATCATTTGGTTATTTTATTGTCGTTTGTGACCAGGCTGCGGCCCATCGCCGAATAAATGCACTTGAGAAAGTATTTTTAATGAGTGGCTGAATCTCAGAGATGCCAGCCAGAATCTTGGCGATGCTGGCTCGCTCCTCTGACACTTGGGCACGGCGTTAACAACAACAACAACAAGAAGTCTGCGAATGTTTTTCAACCTCAAAAGCCCTGACGCCTGTGCCCACACGAGTCGGCTAAATTCAGTGCATCCTGACCCCGTTGGCTTGAGTGCTTCCGACTTTATGTTTTATAAATGGGGTTTACGTTGCGCCGTTATTATGTAATATCTTAGTGTGTTTTTTTATGTGTAACGTATGGCGAGTTTTGAAATTGATGTTGAAGAAATTGACAACCTGATTTTCGTTCACGGATATTGTGTCGTACATGGGCAGAGGAATTAAAAAGTGCACGAAGACCACACGTCCGACTGCGACTACTACTTGACATTTGACGGGTTTTTTCTTTTGTAAAGTAAATGTGATGTGGGAAAAGTTCAAATAAATTCGTTATTTTTGCCAATGCATTTTCATCCCTGCGCTCGCGTGCCATTTCATTGTCGTACAAAAATCCGGTCGTCGAGGCAAAGGCGCAGCCTTGCAATTTCTTGCTCGCTAATTGCTGGCGGACTGGCCCCTCCACGAGAGGGCGCCGAATACAGAGAATATTTTGGACCGACTTTTTTTTCCCAACGCTGGCGAGACTTATTGGAAGAGGTGAGTTGCCCACGCTTTACACCAACACACATACACACAACCTGCTGACCAACTTGTCTGGTTAGGACGCGACAATAAACGGCGTCTAAAGTAAATAAAATGAAATCTATCCGTGGCGGTTGACCCCATCAAGATTCCGAGCCGTGCCTCGCCGTGGCCCGATTGTTATCAGAAAGAGAAAAAAAACCCCTCCATGCTGCGCTGTTCTTTATTGGGGCCAGAAAAAACGAGTTTATACTTATTCGAAATAAAATACAAGACAGGCTTCATTGATGTGTATCGCAAGACACAATAGCGCGCTGTGTTCGGCGTTAATAGTAAAAACTTCGTCTCTAACCCCCCCCCCTGCGCCGCTCCGTGGCAAGCGAGCAAGACGGTGGCGGCAAAGCCTCGGCTTGTCAAATTGTTGTCGAGTTCCATTCGGAAACCAAGAACACATTTCTGCTTGCAAGCTTCTGGTTATATCCAGTTGACATTTGCATTGGGGGTTTTATACAAACAATATTCCCACCCCGCCCCCGCATCGGGTCGCATGCACAACATTGCAATGCAAATGCTCTATATTAGAGTTGTTAAGATGGGGTTGTTGTTTTTTTGCACCCGGGCGGTTATCGCATGAAAGAAGGTGTGTAAATTAGCCAGGGTACTTGGTTATTTTGTTTCTTCCGGTACGTATGTTAAATGCCTCGAACAATAAACATTCCACGTTTTACTTTTTTTTATATAACGGATAAAAACCGAAGGGAATTGCCACAGTGCTGTAATGGAGAGCAGCACACTGGACTTGCAAGCCCAGAGGTCTCTCTGGTTCGATTGAATCTCGCGGCACGGCAGCCGAAATAATGGTGCGAGCTTCTGAAATCCCACGCACCTCGCCAGCCAGCAGTATAAATTGGGCACAATAGCACGGTTAAAGTAAAGTGTAGTGGGGCAAAGTGTGGGTACGCAGACCGCTTCTTCGAACACACCCGGCCAGTGTGTCAGGGTAGAAGAGTATAATCACGAAGTTGATGCCCTTTCTGCCAGCAGTGGCATGAGCAAAGCATCGCAAAGGGAACGGGGTGCTGCACATTTTGCCTTATTAAGCGAGAGCCGTGCTTGTTTGTACGCTGGTGCCAATCGAGCGCTCTCGGTTCTTAAATCCTTCACTGCAAACGGTGAGTGGTTCCTGACATTGCGGAATTGGTGACCGATTATGAATACAATTACCGGTTTATAAAACGTTTTATCGTTGAACAATCGGAGCAATTTCTCTTCGGGTACCACGGCCTTGCTTGCATCACGGCCTCCAAGCTGTCGGGCTTTGACGCCGAGTGGGCAGACCAATAATCCACCAACAAAAAACCCCTTTAAATTTCGAACTCTTTTAAGCGCAGTATACGGTTTCAAAAATAGCACTCGTGGTTTAAGAGGTATATTTTTTCGGGCAAGTTAAACATTTTTGTAAGAAAAACGTTCAACTGTAAACTCCGATAGCTCTGTGTTTTTTTTTTGCAAATCGATTCGCAATGCAACGCACTAATTCAAGACATTATTACAGGTGCTTGATTCTCAGAGGTTTTTTTTATTTTCTTTTGTTAGAATAACCTACCCGAAGGGACTGAATACGCCAGTCAAACCAACTGTTCAGCGGGAGAGAAGTTTAACATTTTAGTCGGCATGATGTGTCGCATTAGAGGGAAATTGGCTGTTCGCAGGTCCGCTTTGCGAGAAACATCACACGGCCTCACGAGTAAACAAGAGGTAACTCACAAATCGTTCACACTGCCTCCAGTTTTTCCTCCCATCAAACTGCACCCAATATTACAGTCCCCTGCCATTCCAGATAAGACAAAAAAATATATGTGTGATTAAAAATGCTCTCTTAGTTCAGTTTACATTGCGGGGTTTCTGAAAACTGATGTGAAATATTGAGTCATCGGAACCACAGACTTGTGCGGTCTCAAAAAGGCTCGTCTTTGTTGGCATTTCGTGAATGTCAAACACGGAACACTGTGCACCAAAGTCTTATTATGTATTTATTTATTCAAGCGGTGTGTAATATGCAAATATTTCCTTTTGATTAAAATTCAAGGTTTATTGTATGAAAGCTGGCCCTCTCTTTGGCTGCCCCAGGGTGCCTCTTGTCCACCTGGCTGCCCTGCACCCCCAACCACCACCGTTGCACAGCGGCAAACTTCTAGAACCAATATCGGGCCGGCACAACCACGTGCCGCTGACCCACATTTGCGTGCAGGTGATAAACAAAACTAGAAATTTGCTCGGGAGAAAAAACAAGCCAAGCAAACTCGGCCCACACACGTAGAACACACAACTTTAATTCACAAATCATTATGAATACAGTACATGATTCCTGCAAGATTTTGTCGAACAATAATAAATATGCACTGACAGCCAAGCTTCGGGGAGGGGTACAGTTAAGAGCATTGTGCACAGATCTTTAACGCAATAAAACGTACAAGCAAATATATAAGAACACCACAAACTCTCAGCTCAACCAAAACAAGCAAATTAAAATTTTGACAGACGCGGCTTTGCCGTGAATTAAAAAAAAGCCGATTTGATTAAACATAAAACAAAACTTTTGTATCTTTCTCGGCGTCAATTTAATTCCCCGTGTGTTTTTTTGTTGCGTTGTTGCAAACTATCAAAACATGTTGATGCCAAAACTACAAAATATCCCGTATCTCATTGTAATTCGACTTACACGTATGCGCGCATTGTTTAACGCGTAAGTTCTACCAAAGAGTCGTGGCGCTTGCCAACCAATTTAAAGTCTGCAAGTTTCTGCGTCTGCAGCGTCCCTCTAAACCAGTTTCACCATTAATAAACCAACATTATACATTGCATACACTGGCACACATAGCGTACATACAAGTGCAAGCAAGCCTCAATTATGTCTGCGCTTCGTGCCAACTGTTGATGCAAGGACTCTTCAAGCCCGATTCTACATACATTATTTATAAAGCTTCAGTGAATGTTATTGAAATGTACCGAGTAGACAACTTTCGAACTAAACAAATTATTAACATTGGCAAATGGTGAGAATTTAGGTGACTCTATATTTGATGTAAGGTCTTATTATTAATGCTATAATTACTCAAAAAAGTATTCAATTGCATTGCCGTTCACTCAGGGCCTTACACTCACATACCATAATGTACTGAAAACGGTCATAATGATGCACGTGGGGTTTTTTTTCAATTTAAATGCGACGAAAAATTAAAACAGGACATACTTGATTCATTTGCAAGCAAAAAGTACAGATTTCTCACAATCATTCTCAAAACAAGGTTAATTGTCTTTGGGCTCTCCCGTACGTGTAAACGGTATGGACAAATTCGAAAAAAAAATAAACGTTTAAATGCAGAAGAGCAGCAAGGGGGGGGGGGGGGGAAGGAACGATGCAAAACGTGTACTCCGCCACGTGTTAATCTGACACCAACGTATAAAGTGCAACAGCCGTCACCATCAGGTCTGGCACCTACCCCCCACGCCCACACCGTACATTTTACCTTAATCTATAAAAGTAACGCCTGCAAGAACAGGAGTAAGATAATAAGCGCGAGGAGCCGGTACACTCTTCGACGAAATTGAAACCGCCACACCTTGGGCAAGTGTTGAGCAATTTTAGAGTCTGCTGGCTTGTCGGATTGGCAAGCGCCTTTTTCTGTGTGCACGGGTTATTAATGAAAATGAAAGTGAGACGGAGGAAAAGAGTTGTTATTGAACAGAATTAAAGTCTGTGTCTGTGGGGCGGGGCGGGGAATAAAAACTCAATTTGGACTTTTTTCGTGCCCGTTGGATAGGTTTTTTTTTTGGGGGGGGGGGGGGTTAATTTCAACTTTCTCATCCGTAGCTAGTGAACACAAACCTCTACGGCTACTTGTGTTGTGGCCGAAACGTCGTGAGAATGTTATTGTTTTATTTTATTATTTTATTCTCATTCCACGTGACTTTGCCGAAAGAACCAAAGAAGACAAACCTCTTGCCAATGAAATGTGGTGGTCCAGAGCAGGGTTTGTTCAACAAGCAGTGACTGCTGATGAGACCTAGAAGGTTTAAAACCGGTTCAGAGTTTGCCGAATTAACACCAAAAGACCGCTTGATAACATTGGTTCTGGAAAGCCAAGACTAACAGCATGTTTTTAGTTTATATGGGGAGACAGAAGATGAGACTTCTAGCTTACAACAGCTACAGTTATTATCATTACATATACGGTAATCTGCGAGAACATTTTACTTCTCTTGAGTGAAGGGAAATTGAGACAATGCAGTTTCGTCCCATTAATGAATGTAAGAGTCCGGAACAAACTGCATGTGAAGGCAACAGTCAACAGTGCTTTTTGTTCGGAGAATATCTGCTCGTGCACATTTATGGTAGCTTAAGTTATTGTATTAAATATTTGACGACACCCACGGCACAGACGCGGTGCCGGAGTAAAACTGAACAACATCTGAAATCGCTGTGAATGCGCCGAGACTTCGTTCGGTTTCATACTTTTCGGATCTATATCCAATGTGATCTCGATTTCTTGAGGACAGTAGTGTCAAGCCACGAGCTAATGTATTTACACAATTTGCCAATTTATAAAGTCATTCTAGCGCCAATAACTTTTTGATGCCACCATGTTTACAAAACCGCGTACACTATTTGTATGATTTACAGATGAAAATACTCAACGGTTCTTTCGGTAAAGTCACGTAGATAGAAAAGAAACGTCGTGTTCTATTTTTTTTTCTATCTACGTGACTTTACCGAAAGAACCCAGAGAGAATGGATTCCTGCAGTCACGAAAGCTTCCAATCAAGAG